ATATTTACATCTGTGGAACATCTGGAACTCAAAGCAACTGTCAACCAACACCAAGGTCAGGATTTTCAATACAAATGTCAAAACAGTTCGACTGTATGGGGCGGAAACTCGGAGAACTACACTAGCTATAACCCAGAAGATGCAAGTGCTTATTAACAGTTGTCTACGCAAAATACTTCGGATCCGCTGGCCAGGCACTATCAGTAACAATCTACTGTGGGAGAGAACAAACCAGATACTAGTGAAGGAGGAAATCGGGAAGAAGCTCGGTTAAAGACAGTCGTTGTAAATTATTTTTTCTAGTTCGTCTGGCCACACATGCTCCATTATACTGACAAAATATTATTAATGTTTAAGCGTCCTATGAAACCCGGATGTCTGACAAACAGATTAGGATATTCAGGGTTAGATAACTACTGCGCAGGCTGTAGCAGCTCACACATATTTGATCTTGTTCACATTTAATTTGATTAAGTATAATATTTGGAAGTATTTGAATTATAGTACAAACTAAGAGTCCCAGAAATGACGCAATTGAATCAAGAATTACGACACAAGCACAAACAAATGTATTGTATTTGGAATTCAAATCGAGCATTCAACAAATGCAAAGGTATCATTAGTTCGTTCAAACACCACATTAGGCCCTTTTATTAACGTATTAACAGACGGAGCCATTCTTCGTTGTGCCTCTGATGAGCGAAGAGAGATGAAACATCAATATGACACTAATGCCTAAAGCAGAAAATAAATCCGACATGAAAACATAAGGGAAGTGAAAATTAGCCCTTCATTTTGCTGAGAATTCGTCATCGCAAATGTATCCGCGACTATAATTGGTATTGATTTCTTGAAGAATTTCGACTTATTAGTAGATCCCCGACTAAACCGACCCTTTAATAGAGGTAATTCTGTGATGATAAAAGGAGTGATCACTGACCACGTATCTATGAACTTATTCGTGTTCAAAGACAAAAGTGATCCATATAAGTCTCTTCTAAATGAGTACGCCGATTTGACGAGTATGTCGTACGATAGCAGTGATCTTAAACATATTGTGTAGCACCACATTGTAACGAATGGTCCATCAACTAACTCAAGATCACGAAGGTTAGACCCGAAAATGTTAAATATTGATGAAACTTGGTATTATAAGGCCATCTAACAGTACTTGGGCATCCCTGCTGCATATGGTTCCCAAAAAGAACAAAGAAATCAGGCAATGTGGAGATTATAGAGCTCTTGTAAAACAAACTGTGGTAGGTAGATATCCGGTGCCACACATCCACGACATCATTATCGATGTGGAAGCCGCCACGATCTTGTCAAAGATTGATCTTGTTAAGGCTTATTACCACGTTCTCGTGACGCCAAATGTACCGAAAACGGCTGTAATCACTCAATCCGGGTTACTTGAATTTTAGCGGATTTCCTTCAACTAACTTATATAGCTCAAGCATTCCAGCGACTCACTGATCAGGTCGTTATGGGTTTGACATATCGATGATATGCTAGTAGCTGGTGCTACCATAGAAGGACATCTACAAAATATACGACAGTTGTTTATGAAACTTCAAGAATATGACGTGACTATTAAGGTGGAGAAGTGTGAACTTGGAAAAGAATCATTTCAATTCTTGGGTCATACGATAGATTCTCAAGGTATCACACCACTTCCGACTACAGTTGTTGATATTCGTGATTATCCGTTACCCAAGTCACAAAGAAAATTACGATGATTCTTAGAACTAATGAACTATTATAGACGATTTATTTCAAACTGCGCAACGATATTGAAACCATTGACGGACGCTCTGCGAGGGCATGTCCGAACATTCCGTCTATCAACAGAGATTATGCAGGCGTTTTAGTACGTCAAGCGAGTGCTAGATGAGATGATGTTAGTACGACAAAAGGGCGAAGCGCCACCAGCCGTCAAGGCGGACGCGTCGAACATAGCAGTGGGAGCCGTACTGCAACAGTTAGTAAATAGTACATGGGAACCACTTTCATTTTCCTCGAAGAGATTAAATCCTACTCAAAGGAGGTGTAGTGCGTTCGAAAGAGAACTGTTGGCGATTTGCTTCTCAACAAAGCATTTCCGATATATGACAGAGGGTATCAACTTCACAGTGTATGAAGATCACAAACCAGAAATTTAAGATACACCGTCACACTAGTTCCGCAGTAAGTCCTTTCCGTCACTCGGATAGCAGGTTCGAGCTCGTACACATCGATATTGAGGGACTGCGGCCGATTTCAAATGGCTTTAGTTACTTTTGACAGAGTCACGCAATGGCATGTAGCATTGACCATAAAAGACACTTCAGCCTAAACTAGAGCTTAAACACTAGTGGAGCATCGGGTTTCTTATTATGGTGGGCCTGCTAATATTACAACCGATAGAGGAATCCAATTTGAGAGCCACATCTTCCAACAACTCAAAAAGCCCCTTGAAACCAAACACATTCGCACAACATCCTACCATTTGATAGCGAATTATGTAGCACAGAGATTACACCGGCAACTCACGGAAACGTGAGTTCAAATCGTCAACGACGTCGACGGAGAAAAACGAAGGGAGTCCAGTAGTGACAAGATATGGTTGAAGAGTTAGATGGCCGACACGATACATAGCTACGATTTTGAAATAATGACTTCTTTTACCTATTCGCATGAGTTTATTCCCCTTTATATTGTATGTGAGCATCGAAAGTTTTAACTCACTTATTATATTCCAACCATTTAAGCTACTAACACTAAAGCTAGCAGAATGAAAATGTGTGCAGGCGGCAAGTAATGCTCCTTCCTGAACTCACTCGCTCGCCTGCTCTTCGGCACTCGCATTTCATTCTTGCTACATGTGCCTGTGGTTTCGGTGGTCTGTGTGGTGCGATAATAAACGTAATCAACACTTTGGATACTTTTTCTGATCTGTGCACCATTGAGCGTTATCTAGTAACGGTTATCAAGACGAGAAGTATACAAAGCTTAAGAATGATATTAAATACCAACCGTCGCAAGTGATATTTCGACGTAAGACTACGTCGATCAAGTAGTCTGTAGTAGGTTAGTGTTGCATTGTGTTGAAATTTTACTTATTGTACGTATTAATTGTTGTATGGATTCTGAACGATTAAAAGCATTCTAACTCGTTCAAATAAATTGTTTGTTTGCCCATGTGCTATATTTAGTTATATATTTAACGTACAAGTACTTTATGCACTAGCAGATCATGCCGTAGTGTCGGCTACTTATTCTTGATTCTGGACAGACCAATTTATTCATTCTTCTTGAGTGACGTTTTGACCTTGTTAATTATTCACTTATCAACTCTGACTTTTTATATGAGCGTATGTGTGTGCACATCTTATCCTACACATTTTATGTTTGTATCTCATAATTCTGTGACTATAAATATTGATTAGTGCTTGACTAAATGTAGTTGGCTTACATGCCTTCTTCACTGCGTATCATTTCGTTTTTCTCTCTTTTCGCTTCGTCCCTCTGATTGTCTAATCAGATCAATGACGGTACAAAATATACGTATTCAAAAATCCATTCCGTTGTACACTAAAGCGGATTAAGTCGATAACTGTGTACGAGAATAGTCAGGATATATATTTTGATAACGATTATTCGTACAATCCAACTGGAGTCAGATATCGGGCCACAACAATTCCAGTACTTTACACAATTATTCATCGTTGTTCCAAAAACAGATTAGAGAGCATTTTATGATCAGTTTTAGAATATATATACCCATCTGGTCTGTACAAAATCGCCTTGTGTTATCTGAGTTCCTTAACTTCATTATCACAGCTGTCACTCAGCATTTCTTATTGTTGTTTGATGACTATTTCATAAATATGCAGTCTGGTTCAGCTTCTTTATTTTAAAAGAAGTTTACCCTGTTTTTCCAAAACATGACTTTAAACTACACCTACGCTCCTGCCTGAAATATAATTCTTTTTTACCTTTAAAACCCTCATGGTTAGAGCAAATAAACTTACTAAACGTTATCGAGAAAGTATAAGAAATAATTAATTTCATTTTTAAAGAACTATATATTCGAAGGCAACATGTCGATGCATTGTTGACGCATACACAACTGAGAAAGTATTGATGTACTACATTTCAGAGGATGTGTTGCCCAGATGATTTAGAATAAGAAAAATCCAAAGAGTTTAAAAATAAAGTGGTACTTATCAGTAGTCTCTGAGACCTCTGGTATGAAGTTATAGCTGAGTTTTACAGAAAGTGCTCTAATTTTTACGACTGCAGTTGGTTCTTCTTTATGATTAGGTTGGAAAGACTGTCTAGAAGGTCAGTAAGGTGACGTTTGCGGGTAAATCAAAGCAACCATCTTCTGAGTTCAGACAGTCGTTTATTATAAAGATCCTTTGATAGTATATGAATCCATTTTTTCTATTGTTATACTGGTAGTAACCCTGGAATAGTGTATTGGCTCACATTTATCACGTTGTCTGCATTGTTTAAAACTGGCTGCTGCCTTTGAATTATCTAAGTTGGTCTGACGGGAGAGATCGTCACCTTCCCCGAATGCTCTTTTATACAAATTCGTTTAAAGTTATTAAGAAAATAGATCACTGATATATTGTGAGATTTACAAGACTCCTTATTTACAGTAAGTTAATAGACAATAGATGATGTACTTAACTGTCACTTGGAATTTCAGTGCCCGATTCCAAGTACCTAATCTAACAAACGAATACTCAAAGTACCACATATATCAACATAGATATATGAACATTATGATTGTGTACCAAACTTAATGTCGAACATTTGCTTTTGTAATGGTTGATGAATAGTGAAGTAGTAATGAGTAGTAAAAAACTCCCGTTCGTGTGCTTAATAATACACTAAAGCAATTATTTTAATTAAAATTTGTCATTTTAATTAACATGATGATCACCAACAATTTCGGTTTATGAAATTAGTTTATCACTGTTTTCCATTCTCAATGTCATGGATTTATTCTAATTTGAGACCAGTAATTCTTTCCATAATCTACAATCACCTTTATTCTTTGAAATCCACTGATAACATTGGAATAAATGAATCTGATTGTTTAGCTGATTTGTGATTAGTACTTTATCTAAATACCAATCAGGACTAACACCTGTGTTATCATGTTCTATAATAATCCGTTGAATAAATTCTGGAAAATCAAAAAGAATTGTTACTAGTGTATTTGTTTAAAAGTAAAATAAAGTTACGTAAAAATTGGGAACATACTAGTTATATAAACTTTAATAAATTTGCTGGTGAAAGCTCAGTGAACTACGTAGATTATGTAACCTTGGAATATATAATGGGTCCGCTTACTAGTATATTTGAAATAACTTCTAATAAACCTGTAAGCTACCGATTATGTCTGGTCTAAAAGCTCACATAGAATTTTAGGAAGAATTTCTACCTATTAACGAATTAGGGATAGAATCACTTTCAACTCAGTGTATCTGAGGCTACTAAATCAGAAAAAACATCTAAAATTTAAAGGACAAACGCCTCTTTGAGTTGATGACTCAATTTAGCACAAATATTGCTCATAATTACTACTGTTAATACTATCAGTAGTAGCACTATAAATCAGTTCATTTAACCAAATGATGTTATAATATTACACTTTCCACAGTTGAAATACGATCTTTCCCAGCATTTTATAGAACTGATGAATTCAATGAAGATAGGACTTACTTATGTAGTTCAACTATATAATTACAAAATGTCATAGTTTTACCTACCCAAATCGATAGATTCAACATAAAATTCGTCAAGTTGTTTCCTGTCAAACAAATTCTTGTTTTCTCGTTTTAAAGCAATCCGTCCAGAGTTTAAGCCTGGTGTGGTACTGAACATTGTGATGAAAATATTGGCATCTGTATTTGCACATCCTTTTGTTCCAGTATATATGGAAACTTTATACATGATAGTTTGTTTGTCTAAAATGACAATATTGGAAGTTGTTCAATAGTATGACCAATAATGTAATAATATTAATTCCAGATAACTAAAAATTTACACAGATGAAGGGTTTGAATGTAAGCGCCTTTAGTAGATCACTGTATTATCGACAGAAAGAGCCCATAAGAATTGTGTAACACATTTGAAATAAGTTTTTCTAAGATTACCCTTTGTGATTCATAAACTGAATAGTACAGTTCAAGCGTTTTACTATTCATATATACAACAAAATCAAAAATAACTCTGAAAGTGAGCTTTTCATCTGAAATAATTTAGCTCAAAAAATACAAACCTGCTTATGAAATATCTCTTTTATAAAATGTCTGTTGCTGAGATTATTCCAAAATTTCACTGAATATAGAGATTACTTAATGCTGAAATGAATTCTTCTTAGTCATTTACTTCCTATAAGTAGCGCAAGTGACATCCTATTGACATTAGCAATTAATAACCCAGTTGAAATCAAATCTAAATCTCAGCACCCTTTGAAATCTTAAACATCTCATGATATGATAATTACGAAATATTGTAGACAATTAATTTTAACTATATTAGTGTTTTATTCGATGTGATGTTTTGTTACAAAGCATCGTTTTCATTATATTTGAATAGTGTTTTAAGTTTAAGTCAGTGAAGATTGTTTACTCATTCCATTCTTTATTTCACTATAGTTCGAATGTGGACAATAAAATTCACTTTCAAGTGTGTAAAATATCAAAGTAAAAAGGATGATTACTTTTGTTGAATAACTGTGTCTTTTCACTAGTTATACTAGAACACAAGAGAAAACGTATATTTGAATAAAGCAAAAATAAAGTTTCTAATAGATCAATACGAATTCATATTATTGAGTTAACAATGGTCATTCCTGCTTAATTCGAGTTTATATACTGGAAAAGTTGTACAAAATGACTATTTTAACTAGTTATGATAATTGACTACATGAGTTACTTAATTTTTTCTAAGTGAAACATTAAGACGATATCTGGGTTCAGTAGATGATCAGAATAACAAAAATATCTTTTGCAAACAAACCCACTGATTTTGTTTGAGAAAACAGATAGGTTAGAATGAATTGTCTATTCCACAGACAACTAATTTATTAAACATTGTTCAATATGTTGTTTTCTCGTTATTTAGATAAACTATATTGATCTTATATAGAAGTAGAGAATTTTTATATGTCCACCTTGAATAATGATTTTTATAAATTTGATGAAAACATATATAGTTTTTGCGTTGTAACCCCAAACCCTAAACCCTAACCCTATGCACTATGATTTCAGGACATCTGAACCTTTATCTAACCTTAACAAGTTTTTAAATCATGTAAAAGAAGAATATCCGCTGTAATTCACAAGTTTTTTATAATATGTTTTCACTTTATACTAACTCTCTTCTGATTGGCTAATTGTTTCAAAGTCACTTAAAAATTCGTTTAAAGGTCGTCCATAAAATATAGTCCTACCGAAATCTGAATATCAATCAATCAGTCAGTCAGTCAGTCAGCTACAACGTAGAACTAGGCACATATATGCATCGATCCAAGTTGCCATACCTCATTAACACAACAAGATGGACACCGGATTCATATAAGTAGTTATTTCAGAGGTGGTAATATTGCTTTCAGTGAGTTACCATCTCACAACAGACCCGGTTGAACTCCACTGGTCACGGTTTCTCACTAGAACTCCAGGAACTACGGCTTGGAGACCGTCACTAGTAAGCATAGGATGATTACTATAATATCCACAAATCGCTCTCTGAAAATTTATATATTATCGATATTTTCTGATTGATCACAGTTTGATAGAAAAGAAAAGAACTTCCAATTTACTAAGAATATTCACTTTACTAAAAAATTGAAATAAAAAGTGGGTAAATATAAAACAGGTCAAATTGTCTGCTGCATATTTTCCATCAAAATATCAGAAATTTAATATACAAATAATACTGATACTTACTTTTTAGTTCATTGAATGCTTTCTTATACGGATCTTCAATTATTTTACTGTAATTCACTAGAACGTCTTTTTTCAAATTAGAAGTTGGAGTAACACTTAACCATTGATGAATGGTAAACATATACGTCCGTTTACTTACTGGATCTGTTATGCTTACTTTTTCACAGAACCACTTTTGTAATTGGACATCATTTGGATTTATTTGTTTGTCAATATTTCGTTCTTGTATACCTAGTCGAATGGTTTCAAGGTCACCTAGTGGGAAGCTTGGTAATCTTAAGATATCATAGTAGAGAAACAAAAGTATTTTGATTAACATAACGATTACTGATATTCGTCAACAGTAAATACAAGAATTATACTTCATCATATCGTGTCTCATAACAGAAATCAATTATTGAAGGAAAATATCGATAAACCGGTCAGGGAACGGGATTGCTTCTTATTGCGTAGATTGTAAAGTAGTCTTTACGAATAGACACCTTTATTTATAATAAATTCAATTGAATTTTATGTATTTTTATTTCATGCATGATTTGATTAAGTTATTTAATTTCGCATCGTAAACATATTGTCCTTCTTCAAACAGACGTAAATGTACTTTTTAATATAAATTAAGGATTGATCGGTTATTTGTTGCAGATAAATTTCATGAGAATAAACATATGCCTACAATCTACAGAGCTGTCTTGAAGTTGATAATAACAAAGTAAATTGTCAGTGATTAGCTTCTTTTACTGATTATCATCAAATATTTTACTGACTAATTGATACTTTTATGTTTGCATACGTAAATTGGTCTAATGATTGAACAGATATTTACTTTATCTAATATAATCTTATGACTAAGTGTTCTGAACATTCTTCAAGAAAAGTAATCGCATAAGCCTTCTATTTAAATAGTGTTGTAAATTGAGTATCAAATTTTGTATTCCAGCCTACATTATGAAACAGTTCATTGAGAACATCGTAGCCATTAATTTATGATATCCAAATAGCGATCTGTGAAAACTACCACTATATTTTCTAATAAAGTAACCTAAATAGTCGAATGTACATTGTTGATTCAAAATAGTTAATTATATATATTTTAATAGTTGAATTCATGAGTCAATTGAAGCTAGACCACCATGGAAAACCTGGAAGCACTGAATGGCCGTTTCGTCCTAGTGTGGGACTCCTCAGCAGCGCTCATTCCCGACCCCGCCCCACGAGACTCGAACCCATGACCTATCGGTCCATTAAAATTAATGAACATTTCAAACATGAACCTATCTCACAACAATGCAGCGTTGACACGTTGCAACAATTGGCGATGGGGTAGAGAATTCTTGAACCCTCGATCTTCAAGGTCAGTCTGTAATTGGACGAAATTCAGTTCAATTATTTCGACCAGTCAGTATCCAGATTGTCATCAGTGTCCTTGAACGACATTGTTCATTATTCATACAGCTAATTTTCATTGCTGGTGCTGATAAAAAAATGACTCTCTCATCCGATCGATTACAGCTGCTACATGAACGACATCTGGAGTTCTTAATCAAATTCCGCACGCAACTGCTGAATCACCCATGCTTTGGAGATACGACGGAAGTAGATGGGTTGATTTCTCAGCTGCACAGTGAGCTGGAAAATGATTGCAGCCTCCATGAATCCTCGACAAATCGTATTTCAAACGACACAGCAGCCATTCATGATCCGCCCAGTGGTCCAGAAATGTCCAATTCAGAAGCATGCCCTGTCGTGGGTTCAAATCCCACTGTCTCCGAAACATGTACAGACAGTGAGGTATCCAGCTCACTCGAAGATCCCCTCGTTTTGCCAGAAAATATGTCACATGCATCAAATAATAGCCAAGAACCTGGTACAGTTTTGTTGCACACTGATTGTCCCAGTGATCAACTATCTACTAGTAAGATTTTCAAGTAATTCGATGACAATGTTCCAGAAGATCCAAACTCTGATGACTTCGAATTGAATGGCGTCTATCCTCACTATCTGGTCAGTCTTACTGGATTCCCTGTTCAATATGTTTTAAATGCAGTCAAATTAATTGTAATTTGGGTTTATGAGGACCCAACATTATTTCGCGGGGGAGGATGGACGCGGAAAATTAACAAAATCCGGATATCAACTCCGGATCTTCAAAAAAGGGAGGTGTTGGGATATTCAGAAAATTATCATGTTAAGTCTAATGGTGTTCTTAGACTTTAAACGGACATTTCCTATTGGTCAATATTTATTTTACTTGTCAAATATTGTAAAAATGTTGTTTTCTATTTTATGGTACGATGTGATCTGTTTGATTGGTATATAAACAGAGTATGTCTGAAATATGGTGATTCATATCTCAGAGGCTGAGACTTGCGTTCTGGACTCAACTGGCTGGGATAGACAGGGTAGCGGAGCAATCAGAGCCCTAGGTCGTTCTTACGTGTCTCTTTGAATCGATCGATCATTCGCTAACCTCCAATCTGCAGCATTTCACGTTACAACACTTTAAATCATAACTCTATGAATTTCATGAAACAAATAAAAAAACTTGACAAAATAAACCTACTGAAATGTATTCGTTTGATTAACTTGAAGTATTGGATTGCCAACTTGATTAACTAGTTCCAACTTCGGACTACGACCATGTTTACCTTCTACAATAATCCATGCATCACAAGTTGTACCCGAATCTTTTAGATTACCAGTTTCTATTACTACTTCATATACTAAAATAAATATTAGTGGTAATTGAAGTCTAATAAAATTTAAATAGATTTATAACTATTACATATGATTAATAACCCTAAAATGTGTCATTAATTGGATTTTTAGTTGTAGAATAGAAAATCAAATGTATTAATAGAAGTTTTGCTAAAAGACTATCAAATGTAGTTTATTTAGTAAATAAATAAGATAGAAAGTATCTTATACATTCATACAATGAATTTAAACAGCTAAGTCATCGCACAGTTTTTACTAATTACACAATTCAAAATGGTTATTATTGATTTGAAGATGATGCTTTATAAACTTCATGTAGAAATCAAGTAAGAAGTGAAGGCAGATAATACTTACTGAGGATAGGTAATGTGTTACCTGATATTGTGAGTTTAATGAAGTAAAAATGGGAAAATATTCATTCTATCGGAATAGCTTAAAGGAATAATATTCCATGTTAAATATAATGATTCTAATCAACTCCAGAATGGATTTATGTTGTGAGCTGGTAGGAGTTTTTAGCTAAAAAAAAATTAATAGGCCATTACAAGTATAGGTTTGGATTTTTGTGTCGGTATTCTGATAATGGTATAAACATTATACCTGTTGAATACGTTAATGATTACATGAGCGCAGCAGATTAGTAGATAATCCGTTGAATTTGAAGTGAAAGGTGATGAGTTCGAATTCTAATTTTAACATTTCTATTAGGATAAAGGTAAATCTTATTCCAAATAAGACGAAATATGCATCTTGGATTCACTGCTACGATCCATTTGTTCTGTAAAAACTTATTACTTTGCAATGATTTGGTCAACTGGTTAGCAAAAAGACATCATAGTAACAACAAAATTCTAACTAGAGTTGTAGATTTAATAAATTATAATTCATACGTATATTTATCACCTTTCATTGTAATTGTCTTTGATAGTACCCACTGAAAACTAACCATGTTTAAAAGGCATGACTTTTGTTTAAGACAAATATCAATACGTATCCGATTTTTAAGACGCATAACTTTATTCCTCTTACAGAGAATAAATCTTTGTATGAAAATAAACATAAACAAACTGGGATCGAAATTGTTGAGTTTATAATTCTATTGCGATTCAGAAGTAGCCAGCAATAATCACAAAAAGGAATAAGAAAAACTTGAAGACCTTAAAGATTTGTGCAAAATAAACAATTTAGACAATTCCTCTTAAAGTGATAAGCAGAAGGATGCTTGAATAATTATCTGTCACTAAAAGTCTATTAGGCTGATAATTGCATACATAGAATCTTCATGAAAACATTTAAAATGTGTAGAAAATAAAACATAGTTGGTCTAAAATATATTTGTCATTTTCAATTAAATATAAATGAAAGAAAAACTAAACTAGAGAGTATAGGAAAAGAATGGAAGTACATCGTAGTCATACCTTACCGGAGTGAAACATCAGAAGAAATCAAACGGATTCTAAACAAACATGATATAAGAGTGTATTTTAGAGCGAATAACACATTAAGATCGACATTAGTGAAAGTTAAGGACAAGTTAGCAAAGGAGGAACAACAGAACATTGTGTATGAGATTCACTGTCATGACTGTAATGCTACCTATGTTGGAGAAACATCCAGGCAATTGAATGTAAGATTGAAGGAACACAAACAATGTTTGAAAAATGTTCCAAAATTCTCAGTCGATTTAAAGAAACTTGAAAATAAGTCAGCGATAGCGTTACATGCGTTAGAAACAGGACACAAGATTAATTTTGAAGGGACCAAAATACTTCAGAAAGGTTTTAACACCCATAAAGAAAGATTGACAGCAGAAGCTCTGCATATATGGGCGAACAAGAACAGCCTAAACCGAAAAGATGGTATTCAACTGGCAAATTTCGTTTGACAAGTAAATTTGGAACCTATCTCTTGTTTAATATCACATGCATCGTTATTATTTTTGAAAGAACTCAATGAGTTTTTTAAACAATACAATTTATGAGTCAGTTGAAGCTAGACCACCATTGAAAACCTGGAAGCACTGGACGGCCGTTTCGTCCTAGTATGGGACTCCTCAGCAGTGCGCATCCACGATCCCGCACCATGCGGGATCGTGAAATTTCTAAAATCTCCACAAAACCCATTCTGATAATAATCAACTGCTCACTAGTGACTGACTTCAGGAAAAACTCCCGAAGTTCTAGTGAGAAGCCGTTACCAGTGGAGTTCAACCAGGTCTGTTGTGAGATAGGAACTCACTGAAGACAATGGTGTACGGTGGCGCAACTTCGTGGATTGGTTGAAGTTAGACATTAACACCGTTGGATGCCGGCTCAGTGGTCTAGTGGTTAAGTGCTCGCGCGCGAAGCCAGTAGGTCCTGAGTTCGAGCCCCGCATGGTGCGGGATCGTGGATGCGCACTGCTGAGGAGTCCCATACTAGGACGAAACGGCCGTCCAGTGCTTCCAGGTTTTCAATGGTGGTCTAGCTTCAACTGACTCATGATTTCAATCTGTGAAATTTCTAAAATCTCCACAAAACCCATTTTGATAATACAATTTATGTTTTGACATGTACATCGATGTTTCATTATCAATTTTTTCATCCTTGAACTTGAACTTTATTTATTCCTTCATATCAATCTTTGACACATACATACATACCTACACACTCACACACATACAACTTGGTTATTCAGTTAAGTATTTCCATGTAGTTGATTTCTTCACATGATTTGTAGTTAACTGACTCATTTTATCTTATTTTACGAAAAAATCAACATCAGAATATGATTGGTTTAACACAGTATAATCCTGATTGTTAAAAAGCTATATATTTCTTTGATAATTTTGATTTTGATTATTACCCTGAAGAAGTCCAGACAAGTTAGCTGGACGAAACGTTGGAATTAGTTAAATTTCAATCGCTGAGAATATTTCAAATATAATTTTCACATATAATGACTTCTCTATACTCGGCGCTCAATTACTGTCAAGCTATTCGTTCTAATCTTGACGAATATTCGTATATATTTTTAGTTCAGTTTGCGAAGAAAAGAAGTTTTTTGGAAGAGTGATATAAACTGGACGACCACTAGGAAGATGAAGACAAAGAACAACTATTTTGACTTAGTTTAGGACTCCTCAGCAGTCCTTGTTCACGACCGAAAGTGGAAATTAACTCAGATTCTTTATATGATGTGATTACGATTATACTTTTAAACCGCTGAGTTGAACTTCGGTGGTCCGCACTTTTATTTTTTGAAGTAATGAAATTATTTATTCCCACAGTTGATAGTTATTATATTTCCACTAAGGTCGAACCTCACCAGTCACTGAATCAATCATAAATTTTGCTAATAAATCATCTAAGGTGCTATTAAATCTAATTAGCGTGACCTACACTCACCGTCGTATCTTGATGAGGTTAGGAATAAAAAATTGAATAGGTTGAAATACGGAAGTTTTATTTTCTGTTAAACTTGGTGAGATATCGTGAAATAATGAAGATTACCTTACATGTTAACACTTTATGATGTAACTAATTGGGTATTTTAGAGGATAGTCAGAGATGAAGGAAATATGGGCATGTTGTTACGCAATTGCTGTTCTGTATTGACTTGTTACATCATAAAAAGCTTTTATTTTGACAGAATAAAATCTAGTAAAGGCAAATAGAGTGAAGACATTTTTTACATCAGATTTTTATCTTTGCTCTACCCTAATATATATACGATTTACAACAATGAAGTAATACTCATCGAGTAGTCACATTACATATTTATTACATGATGTCACAGTGAATATAAAATAGTATTGAGTAATTGAAAGAAGGAGGACTGTCATAATCTACAAGATTATTCGAAAAATTCAACTAAAAGGTTGTTACATTACATAATGTTTGAAAAGAAGTAACACTATATTTTGTTGAAAGGTCAGTATTATGGCAGCTATATAAGAATCAAGAGATGAATGTGGAGAATATGCGAAGTTGACAAAGTGAACAAAAATTTTCGAACATTGGAAAAATGGGACTAGTCAAAGTTCAGATAAAACTGACTCTTGTATCGGTGGTCAAGGTAGTGAGAGTGGTTGTACAAACTTCGTTTCAATGCAAAGGTGTGGTTTACGAACATGGGTTCCAGTGGTTACATCGATATATAAAGATGAACTTGTAAACCATGCAGTAAATTTGATGAAGTCTGGTGGATAACTTTAACAGCATTACTCAGGTCAACGTGATGTCCTGTTTCCACTAAGTGAGCAAGAATAGAACTCAGTCAGTCTTACCTGTCCTTCGCCTAAACAAAACGAGCTTGCCGAATCACTGGCTCCGAAATGTAGTGAAATTGATAACTGCACATCGAATGTATAGGTAATTATTTTTAAAAACTATGTAATGTCGTAACATTTTAGTTGAATTTTTCGAATAATCTTGTAGATTATGACAGTCCTCCTTCTTTCAATTACTCAATACTATTTTATATTCACTGTGACATCATGTAATAAATATGTAATGTGACTACTCGATGAGTATTACTTCATTATTGTCAATCATATATATGTTAGGGTAGAGCAAAGATGAAAATCTAATTGAGTAAAAATGTCTTCGTCCTATTCGTTCTTTTACTGAATATCAGAATGGGAATTTTCACCATAGAGAAAAAAGTCTCCCTCACCTAGTTTTCCTTCGGGATTATCTTTTAAGTCAGATATATTCATAGAATCTGCCGTTGTTATCAATGTCTCGATAGATTCCTGATCAATAGTTCTATGACCTTTGGAATCATTCAGATAAACTTCAGAACATGGAGCATCTCTTAATAATTGTTTGTTATCGTCACTTATGGATAACCATTTGTTAAAAGTAAATTTCCAGTTACATGACAAATTTTTTTCTCCAGGTATCAGAACTTCTTTTACTTCAAGCCATTCACAATACCAATTTGGTGATGATCCTTTATTATCATGCCATATTCGACAACGGGCAAGATTACCAAGTTTTAAAATTGATGGTATTTTAAAATGATCAATCTGAAATGTAATAATTAGGTTACACAATGACATTTAACGTAATCATACAAAAAAACAAAATAAAATTACATAGAATTTACTGAACTTGAGGAGATTTTAGTTATTATTTACCCAAAAATGTGCAAACGAATGTGAAACAAGCCGGCACTTCAACTTTGACCTTTTTGATATGGTAAGATATATGATACTACAGCTTTTATTTTCTTTTATCTGGCCTAATTAATTCATTTTAGTTTATCAAACTGTTCTATAAAAAAAACCATCGTTTGGATGTTATAACATTTAAGTATTCGTATCTTGTGTAGAGCATGGTATTAAAGTTTTGCTTACATTGATTATCCCTCTGTGTCCATGCATTTTCATTATACTAAGTAAATTATTATGAGTGATAAATTTGTATCTGTAAATTGAATCACTACAAGTTTGATGCAAAATAGGTTATTTCCCAAATTAGATCTTGTTTAACATAGAAACTTCTTGAATTATTTTAAATAAATTTTCTCAGATGAATTATAAATAGCATCCTAGCAGCTAGTTCAGCAAGGATATAATACTTTCTTTGTGTTGTTAAGTCAGTTAGTCAGTCAATCAGCTACAACGTAGGATCAGGCACATATGTGCATCGGTCCAAATTGTCATACCTCATTAGCACAAAAAGATAAACACCGAATTCATAGAAGTAGTTAATTCAGTGGTGGTAATATATAAAAGAATGATTACATATAAGGATATAGTACAGGAAGAAAGAATTAAATCATAGAAAGGAAGATACGAAGCGATTCTAATCTGACAGTTTAAAGGAAGACAGAGAGTGTATACACCGACGCCATTGTGATCGATTCTGAGTCATATCACCAAGAGTCTCCAACCATTGGTTACAATAGTCACGCGGACCCCAACCAAGTAGTCTGCATCTTCCAACATGGCTCAGACTAGAAAGAAGTGACCTCAATGACTGATGCCAAGCTTTGATTTGGCTGCCTCTAACCTTCTTCCAGCCATCCCCAACACTAGTCAGCATTGTGCGTCGTGGTAATCGGTGTTCAGGCATACGCAACACGTGGCCCAGCCATCTCAGTCGATGAAGATTCACAACCTCATCAACTGACTTACCATCATTTCCTAATACCATATGTCTAACATCACTATTACTTACCCGGTGATCCCAGCAGATGTGGTCAAGTACTAGTAGCTTACGAAAATCTTCTACTCCTAATGGCCATGTATCGCAGCTGTCATTATCATTGTGCTGTTATGACATAGAAACATAATAGTTTGTGGGCAATTTACGAAATCTTGACAAAATGAGGTAAATTTATAATATTTTACTTCAGCTGTTATCCTTATTCTTCGAATTCAATTAAAGGAAATATGTTTAAGAAATATTCATCGTCCCCCACAATTCTAGATTCTATAGTGAGTTGTTAAAATCCATTGATAGAAGATGAAAGTGAGCTTTTGTGACAAAAATAGCCTTAAGATTTATCTTCTGAATCTCAAACGTTTGGTCGTATTATATCAAATAATATACTATTCTTCTTTATTTATAAAATGTTTGTTTAACTTTGTCCACAAAAGTGTGAATTACCGGACTAGTGTTAAATGCGATAATTTACTTGATATATCTACTTGGTTTCCTATGAACTACATGATAGTAAACTGAACCACTTGGAAGCAAATCTTCCCACTTAAGTAATCTAAACCATGGTTTGATAAATAATGAGACAAAAACTCGCAATGTGATTATTCATTTAAATCGGTTTTACGCAGTGCTTCACTTTTGACATCAAGGTGAATCGATACACACTTTCTAATATTATAAACAAGGTTGTAGTACCTCACTTTTATCTGGGACAGTGGTGAATGGGAAAAATAGAAACATAATAAAATAATGTAAATGACCAACTGAGACAAAAACAGATACAAAAAGCTCATGGGATGAATGTTGTGGCCCTCAGTTAATAATTTTGAATGTACTTACTGGAGAAGGTAAATTATATGGCTAATACACTTAATATTAGAGTTGAAAAAGTTATGATTTTATGTTGTCTCCATTAGATATTTATCTCTTTATTACATGAAACTTGTAAAGTACGCTTTATATTCGTTATCGGGAACTTTGAAATAAGCAAAACAATGTGTTTTAAAAGTTTCAAATTTCAGATCTAGTCGTGTGAATGTCTTTTTGTACGAAAATATTTTTTTCGTCCACTTCAACATAATCACGTTGAGTGGATGTGATTAAGGGTAACATATTATATCATTTTAATACATCTGGCTTTAGAATTATTCCAAAGGCTGAATTGAAATTTCTGTAGATTGATCCGTACATGTATAAGAAACCAGTTTATCCTAGTCCATCTAAACTGTTAAAAAACATGTTTGATAGTTTTCAAGAGCATAAATTTCTCGGTGTTTCTTCTCCTTCTAAAGAGGAGTTAGGTATTTTGTATTTTTTTCTACATAACCATAAATATATCCAGGAAGTTTTAAAGTATTCATTGTGTATTTTCAAGTTCATGGAAGAATAACAGATTGAAACAAAGAAACAAACTTACTGAATTATTTTGAAAAGGTTTTTGATTCGATACCGTTTGTTTCAATAGTATTTCTCCTGAATCACCATATTCACCAAAAAGTTGTACATATACATTTGCATCAGTAGAGCTGGCTGGCATATTTCCAGTCTTAACAAATATATCCAAACATGTCTCTGTGCAAAGATAATGTGTAATTATGTCCAAGTAATATAACTAATATATAAATATGTGTAATATAAATATTAAGGTATAAAGGAATCAGTCACTTTTTTTAGTACTAAATAATGGGTAGATGAAAATATTCCGGAAAAAAATCGAAGATTTTATGAAAATAAGTATTCTTGACAAAAAACTTATGCTGTTGAGATAGTTCTTTCTACATTTTAAATCTATAAAAAGGTAAAAACTGTAGAGCTTACTGCCTATATGTTATATCTTCACAGAAACGCTTATGTATTGCTGTTTTCAGCTGGTCTGCGGTAAATTGTATTTACCAACGACTGAGAATTTCTTTAATACAAACGAGAACGAATATAAACAGGAGTATACCGGATATCTGATACACAACAACATCTTAACGATAATAATCCACAGAGTGATAGAGAATATGGTACTTTTATGGTAACATTATATTTCACAAAGAATGAGAACAAATCTGTTTTTACAGTGACATACAATGACTTTAGGGCATAAAAAGTTAGCGAATTAACAGGGATGACAACCAATTAGATATCGTCAAAGGTTATTGTCGAAATATGAATTAGAAACGTTATCGAGAGTATCCTCTAAAGAAAGAATTAACATGTAATAGTAAAAAATACTAAATAGCCTGAAATCTCCTTTGTAACACAGTACAAGTATAGGTAAAGTACTCCCACTACTACTGTTGCTAAAAATACATGACCGAGCAGTATTAGACTACTTTTGTAAACGTATACTGATAAAATACATGGCATAAAAGTAATTTCTTTTGATCATCTATACAAGCATAAAAATAAACTTTCACACGACAAAGTTTTGTCAAGATCAGAATGGGGGTTCGTGGAGATTGCAGTAATTTAATAGTTGAATTCATGAATCGATTCAAGCTTGACCACCATTGAAAACCTAGACGTCCTGAACGGCCTTTTCGTCCTAGTATGGGACTCCTCAGCACTGTGCATTAACATTTTCGCAAGCGAGACTCCAACTCAGGACTTTAGGTCTCGTGTGCGGACGCCTAAGCTCTAGACCAATGAGCCGGCATCCAACAGTGTTAATGTTTAACTTTAACCAATCCACGATAGTGCGCGACCGTCCACCATTTTGAAAAACAATATTTGTAAATAAAATTTTAATTATTCATGTACTTTATACCTTTTAACTGAACGGTATCGCCAATCATGGCCGGCAAGTCAACCCATAATGATTTTCGTTTACCATATGTTAAACTAAGCCAATCATTATAAACAAAGCGATATAATTGATTTGTATTAGCAACTGTTACTTCAACACAACTCAAATTCCAATGCTTGTTTTTACCCTGAATTAAATTACCAAGAATATTGTCGTTAATTTGATGATATAATAAAAAAAACATAAAAAAAATAATTTCTTTAGACACCAAATACAAGTCTCTTGTGAATATAATTTGTCAGTATTATTTTCTTGATGATAAACGTAGTTCCTTTCATTCTTAAGCGACTGAACATTTATGTGAATATACTCATCAAGTCATAGATTGAATAACGTGACGATGAAATTCATTTCATTTTCATGACTGTTTACTTATATAATAATTCATGAGTCTGAAAGTCATTCAAATATATACATTGTTCAGTTTATATTCTAAAGCAACCGACTAGTTATCCGAAACTCTAAGTTGTTCACAGAATTTCAGTCATTAGGCGATGACTCTGAACTATTATGAATTATTCAGACATCAAATCTTATGACTTAAAAGGATTTACATTTCATTTATTGTCCCTCCTTAAAACTTCGGTAAGCCATACTGAGAATGATCTTAAATGCAATGAAGAAGTATTGTAGACAAACAGCCTGAATATCTGGCTACAGAAGAGCAACCAAATTGATAAATCCACAATAAATTAATCAATTCTCGCAACTTATTTTTTATATGAAGAGATTCATCTATACGTTTGGTGTATAACAAACATTCGAAACTTTAGACAGACAATTTATGTGAAAAATGTTGCATGAGCTAAAAGACGTTCTACGATTTCTACATATTTCTTTTCCTGATTAGACTTTACCATTTATCTGCATGACCTCGTCAGTAGTTTAAAGAGTGAGAAAAAGCCATGACTTGATTTTTCCTGTATGATCAATCTTCCTTGTTTCACTAACTTTGTGAACACATTATACTGATTCATAATTTCAAGTACTAGCTTAGTGTGAGAACCTAATCATCCATCAACTGATTTTAACTGTAAAACCTAGAACTCATAAAATTTAGCTTTCAATTATTGTTACTGATCGAGCCAATAAAGCCAATAAATTCATTGACAGACGGACTAAACAGGTCATACCTTCTGATCAGTAGGCCTTTATAGTTGTTAAGTGGTACAGTGTAACGATCATTTTCGTTGGTTATCTGGATGATATAGTTGGTGCCATTTTTTAAAAATATTAAGTATTTCTATGAAGAATATAGGCTAAGAACCAAACCTTCTGGGTTTAACCGCATATGAATTTTCAGTATTGAAACATGATAAGTGCTTAATTTCAAAAGGTACCAGTCCCAAACTCAATAAAATATACGTTTAGCTTATAAATATATATCAGCAAAGCATCACCTGATTGTCATGTCCTATTCGCATCTTTAACAATTTTCCTACATCTTCCATTTCAAGACTAATATTATCGGTTATTCCTTGAGAAAATCGATTACTGGTCTTTTCTAAGTATAGCAGTTTGTTACACCATTTGTACCGAAAATTTGAAGATTTATGCTACAATCTGTGCCGGCCTTCTTGACATTAGCTGTAGTTATTTTCAAACGATAAGTAATTTCTGCGTAATAGAAAATGATTTGTTTCAATGAAATTTTTAGAAAAAACTGATATAATAAAAAAAACGCTATTTCATAAAAAGTATCATTGGAAATAATTATTGAATTGTCGTAAAGTATTTGCGACTCCAGTGCAAGTGTTGGGTGTTTGCGAACTGACTGAGCTGGATAGATTAGCTGCACAGTCTCGGTTGTCTTTCTGGACAATATCCACAAAGCTTACTCTGTGTAGAAACGAGGTTTTTTTCTATCAGTTTTAATTAAGTTGGATCGTTAGCTCTAATTTAACGCTCATGGAATAATTAGGAAGCTCACTTTGAAATCAAATATAGGTTAATGACGTCCGGAAAGACAACAGAAGTTCCGCAGTTAAACCTTTTAGATAAGAGGACCCAAAAATACCGTAAGGAATAATTATTCTACAAAAAGTTTTTTAGTGGAAATTTGATGGATGCTAACGTTAACTAAATCTATAATTACATATTTAAAACGTATTACTAGCTGTTTTTATTTTTAGAAAAATGATGTAAAAAGCAATAACCGAATTGTGGCAATGTAAAGTAGCACTATTTGCTCGATTCTCACTAATCGTTATCTACATGTTAAATGTGGTGTTGATGTTGAACCCAGAAAATAAGGCTTAAAGATATTTTTCGCCAAACAATTACGTCAGTTAAGGGATCGTTAAAATTTGGGAAAATTTGACGACTGTAGTGCTCCAGTCAGGGATAAATTAATAATGGAAATTTACGACCCTACAAAGTATAGAATCTAAGATTTTCTGATTTTGACGTTAGTAGGATATCTATACGCTCATGCTTGGACTATACAACGAATTAGCAGCAGTTTGGAATTTGCAGTAATTCGATCTTGACTCTGCATATTAATACGTCCTACTCGTCAAATGACGTTGATAAACTTGGTATGGCTTTATGTTGGGACATGGATACATAAATTTCTGAGATATCTTAAACTGAGTAGATACAACTGTCCAAGAATTTCTGGTATAAAGGTCATCTGATGCGCGTCAGTGACAAAAACTTTATGCATCATGCAATAATCCTCCAAAATCACATATCTACAAAACAAAAAGACATAATAAAAATTTGTAAACATGAATTAATGAATTAACTTGATAAGCTACGAAAATATTTCTCTTTTGGGACTGATAATGCCAATGTATTAGAGCATAAAATCCTTGACTTTGTTTCATAAATAAAGTTGATCCTCTCATTGTTATATATTCAAGTTAGGGTTATTTCAAGGATGAACAATCTTTTATGCTTGTCAATAAAGTCCACGGGTAAATGTCCTAAGGCTGCAATACATTTTGGTAGTATAATTGATTCAAAATAGCTATTGTTGTTAATTTATTCAATTACAGATGATAGCACATGACACTAAAGTTGTCTATTCATTATGATATATCCCTGATTTAACGTAAGAAAATCAAATCCTTGATGAACTTATGATAGATATGATCACACAATCTAGTGACCTTAACGTCTAATTGCTGAAATTCATAAGACGACAATGACTTCCGATTACTGAAGTGAGATGTGAATTGTCTGTACTGATTCAAGTGTTAATCTTCTTAATTTAATTTATTTTAACTATAACTAGACACCTACTAAGCGTAAAAGTTCTATCTATATTGTAAGCACATCAAACTAAAGTCTATAATTAACAGTGTGATGCCTGACAAAATGTCACATATTTTACTTTACGACTATAACTAATACTTAATTGATTAAGGTGTGTTCTCTTAGTTTAGCACATGCCAACTAGAATAACAATAAAATGAGTATAATTCACATTTAGATCAATTTAACGAGATTCCTGTTAGCTCACTTGCTTTAAACTTGACTATATTTGTATTTGAAATTTTCAGATTACAAGTTCGTTTTTTATTGCCACGATTTGTCGATAGCCATTCCTTACAGTTAAACGGATACATTTTTCCAATTGTAGGGAATGATAGGTATAAAGATTGCATGTACCAACCCATTGAAAGACTTTCTGGAGCATCATTTCCAACCTGCAGCAAAATTTTGTATTGTTAAGGAAAAAGCTATAACTAGACAAAAAATATAAATTTCAGTAACAAAATCCTATAACAAAGCTCGTGATCGACAAGGTATTTTATCATAAGAACCTAAGGCAATAAAGGTGTAGTCTAACTACATAAATAGTCAGGTGATTAATTTGAAAAATTCATCTATAGATGATATATAACAGATTGATTAGAAATCTAAGTGGAGCATTGTTATGAACACTATGAAGTCTTGCAATTGATGGCTGTGGAAAGTTAGAAGCTAGTCATTTGAGATTTTCAATATTATGACTGTAAATTAATTACAATGACTTTAACTTTTAAGCTGAACGGGTCCTATTTTTGCTGGAAGTTTTAATTATTTGTTTGCTTAATGAACTTTGTGATAGAAATCTCTGAATTTACTAACCTGTCATTGCTTATAGTAGTATTCAATTGGTTTAGTCATAGCGGCGATCCAAATAGCTTTATATCATCATGTCATAAATATCATGTACAGATGTGGTGATATAGTCTTTTTATGGCAGTTCTGTACCCTGACGTACTCTCTAATCCATAGGCGAATGAGAAAAGATTCTGAATAGATCCTGAAATATTTTATCATCACATCTCTATGTAAATGAAATTTTTAGTCTCGACAAATTATAAATTTATCCAAAACGTGTTACTGTTATTGTGTTATTTCAGACCAACCTGTATGCTAAATTATTGGCAGTAAAAATCCTGGTATGACCAAATCGGTTGATACTACAATTAGGATTCAATTGATAACCCTGTTGTCTTGTCTTATTTTAGCTCACAAACATATTGTTACTACGCCCAAATGCTTTTGTGTTAAACGGTGTCTCCTTCCTGGTTTATTTAACCTGAATCTACTGTAAAATTATTTTTTTTGATTATTTCTGAGAATATGTAACTTGGACTTATGTTCTAATGCAACATAATATACCCCCAAGATTTTTATAGTTAAGCTTTTCCTTTTTCCTTAAGGATTTCAAGTTATGGCCGGCCTCGTGATGCACCTGTGAACTGCTCTCTATACATGACTTTGCAGTGTAGCTCATCGTATGAATTCCGTATGACGTTGACGATTTTCTCAGGTACACCATAGTGTCGAGGAAGGTTCAATAGGGTTCTCCTATCCACACTGTCTAACGCCTTCTCATAGCCAAGGCAGTTGATGTACAGTGACGTGTTCCGTTTAATTAATTGCCCAACGATAATCCGTAGTGTCTCGATTCGGTCTTTGCAAAACCGACGCTTACGGAATCCGGTCTGTTGATCTCAGAGAAGGGCGCATACTGAATCTTTCATAAATCTTTCAACAACACTGTTGAAAACCTTTCTGGTACCAATAGTAGTATGATGTCTCTATAGTTTTCACATTTGCTGAGATCGCATTGTTTTGGTAAGTGTTGTGGACGATAGATCCCCAAAACCATATTTTGTAATTTCAGCTTATTGATGAACTTATTGGTTAATGTTAAAAAGATTTTCATGTCAATATGGATTATAAATATTTATATAAATACGCTTGATTTGTGTGCCTGATTGACCTGACCTGGTATCTGCTGGTTGCCTGTAGAATACACTTTCTACGCCTTACCAAGACTTCTTGATCGAGTTAGCTGAGTCGGGGACAACGGAGCAGAATAGTCTATTGAGATTCTGAATCCCTTGATCCGATCGATAAGTCACTGCTCTCTAATCGGCGGCCCTTTGAAATTTAACAGTGTCGTGATGGGTATCCTTGTTTCCAGTCTGTCAACACTTGTTCCTTCCCCCAAATCTTCAATAGAACGTGAAGCATGTTTTCAGTTACTTGTATGTCTGACTTCTGTGCTTCGGCTGGTATATTGTCAGGTCCTGCAGAAGAACAGACGGTTTCATTTAAAGAAATATATTTCGAAAGACCACATGGACTGGTCGGTATACCCATTTCCATAGCTTTACACGTTTTCAATACAAAATAAATGTGGTTAAATATCTCAGCCACAGAACTAAACTATTACATTCTGAATATAGTGTAGATAGCGAAATAGATACACTAAAGAACACATTACGAAATAATGGTTATCCGGATAATTTCGTTAGAAAATTCCTGTTAGAAGGTACTAAAAAAAGAAGAAACTATGACTCGGTAAGTAAGAAACTATATCCGAAACTGGATTTTAAAGGAGACATAGTGGGTGACATTTTAGCACATCGACACAAAAGATCTGTCGAAAGGATGTTTCACGACTCCAAGTTACGTACAATTTTCTCAACTAAACCAGTACTTACACGACAAATCAAGGACAGATTACCGATGAGGAATACCTCCACGTGTGCATACCAGTTCCAATGCTCCTGTGGAGCTAGTTATGCAGGCTGTACACATAAGGCTTTATCCTTGCGTGCTCGTGAACATGTACCAGCACGGTTGGGAAAAGGAGTTACTAAATCAATTATCAAAATACAGGAAGCTTTCTCTGTTTTAGATCAAGTTCCAAAGAATCTACCTCAAAGAGCTAGATTGTGGCTACTCTACTTAGCTGAAGTCATCTGGATCAACTACACAATACTGAACTTATACACCCAGAAGAGGTATATCCAGCCTCTATGTTTACCGTGGTCCAAGACTGGATCACAAGATACCTAAGCTAGATAATATGGACCTCTTATTCCCCCTCCCATTCCTTTCGTGTTTATATATCATTTTCCACATTCACCTTTACCAGTTTACATGAATTCTTTTATGTCGTAATGACCTTGATAACATCCTTTTATTACATAGTATATTCACACAACGATATTATTGTCATTGTTACTACTATTATTGTTATCATTGTTACCTCGATTAACAAGATTAAATTCGCCTACCATGAATTTTATTCAGACGATTTTTTTTCATTTACATTTTTGCTATATTGCTATTATACTGATTGAGACTTGATGCTACTCTAACTCATCCTGACTTTTAATAAATGACCTTTCTAATTTACAAATAACACAATTTTGAAGTATTTGTATCGTAACAGATGCAAACGTTCATTTTTAACATTTAGCATTTTTAAATCCATTATTTTTGGTCTTTGTAAAATATAATTCTGGACTTATAATTATAGAGCCTAATCAAGTTATTGACAACAATTATTTGCTCAAATATTCTATATTTTGAAAACCTAAAGTCCAAAAATAATAATTCAGTTTATACAGTTTCGTACTTCAAGTGATCTGTTTAGTGAACAAGTTATGACTTTATAAAAGTATAGCCTCAAAATATTCTAAACTCATTATTACAATATGAACAAAGTATACAAAGGTGCCAAATGCTCAATAGTAAAGGTATGTCTTAAGTCAGAAAATAAGGGAACTACTGACAATGCAAAAAGAGTTCAGCCATCAAAGACTTAAGAAGGTTATTGGCTGGTTCTATAAGGTTCTAACTTTAATAACGACTTATAGCCAAAGGAAATTTGTGTGTTTAATCAACCCAAAGGTAAGTACTTGTTATCTGTGGAACACACTTGAGTAAAAGTAGATTTAACAGTCTTAATTATGACAGAATTCTCATGATTAATTAACACTTCATTCAATTCACAAAAGAATAAGATAAGTAATTCCTGTCATGTGGATTAAAATGATTATTTTGTACTGAAGTAATTGTTAGACATTTCAAATGACTAAACTACAAACTTGTGAGTTTAAAAGAACAATCATTTTAAGACACTCAAGTAAAAAAAGCATCTCACTTGTATTTCAGTCAAATCATTAATTTTAGCACCTGTGAATCGAAAATACCTTGTAGTTCCTCTTTTTAACTTTGTTCTATTATAACAATCGCATAGAATAAACTTTTCTGAATTCATTTTATTTTTATCAACACAGCAAATCCATACAGGACCAGGCGTTCCAGCTTTCCTATCGGAACCAGTAATAACCGTAATCAAATAAGGAATAGCTAATGGTATAGAAATTCAAAACAGAATGAATAATTTTTAAATAATTCATTAAAACCTGTGAAAGAAATTAAATGAATAGTTTTCATAGGTAATTAACATTTAAACCTTAAAAAGCCAGTTTAGATAATAAAATTTTAATAAACCGTGGATTACTGTAAATAAGAAAGATTAGTTCAGAAAAGAGTTCTCCTTTTCAGCGAATTCATTTTTAAAGCTGTACAGTCGCAAATATATATACTTATTTTTTACAAGGTAACTCCGCCTGGAGTCACTCCGGGGGCTACTGTCGGTCCCAAGCCCGGATAAAGGAGAAGGGTTGGGCATGGGTTTAGCGACCCCATCCCGTAGAAAACTAACTCGCTGAAAAAAACGCTAACCAGAAAAAATTATTCAAAGTAAGTAAGTAATTTTTTTCAGGGTGATTACAATTAAAATAATTGCAATAATAATGATAATAAACTTCTATTAGACATAGTGACAATGGGGTAGAATAAACAAAGGTATTAAAAAATTTAAAGCAATTAGTCCCTTTTATAAATTTCGATAGAACAATGAGAAGACGGAGTTGATCTGAAAAATGTGATGCATTTGCGCTATACATTGTTCGAAATGTATAGCGCAAATACATCACATTTTTCAGATCAACTCCGTCTTCTCATTGTTCTATCGTAATATTAGAAAATTATTTTAAACAGAAAAACTAATAATTGATTGATTATTAAGGGCTTAAATATTCATCAAAGGATAGGGAAATTATAATTGGGAAAGGATGGCTCAGCATGATAAGATAAAATGTTGAAATTGAGATTAAATGTAATCAGGAGGATCATAGAAGCAGAAATAAATCAGTTGGGGGTAGAAGGTTTAGGGAGAAGATGGAAGGGGAAGAAGATGGCTATAAAGGAAGAAGAGTATGAAAAATGAAAAAAAAATTATAAGACATTAAGGCCATTGTAGGAGGAGAGGTTGTACCAATCTCGCCACGCCGGGTAATGTTTTTGAATTCTTTTAGATAAAGTACTCATCGAACGACCTATGTACTTGGCTCCACATGAGCAGATAAGTTGGTAAATGCACATTGAGTTGGTCAAATGAGATAATTTATCCTTAAGATTATTGATGAACAATGATCGGCTGGAAAATGCTATTCGCAAAGTTGTTGCGAAGAACGTTCTTTTTAACGAATCAGAAATTCTCTTCTTTAAGACGTACGTAGCTCTGTCGCCCTTAAAGTCGATGTTCATGTATAATGTTTTCTCTTTTCGACTGAAGTTATTTGTGTTTTCGGAGGTTTTGGTTTTATGTTCTTATCACTGCGAAGGCAGGTGTTATTCACGAAGTAAATCGAACATTGACATTGTTGTATTCTGTTTTATAATGATTGAAATGTGAAATATATGTGAATGTGCTTAAAGATCAATCAAATAGGATAAAATAACTGTAGACTTTGAGCCACAAGCGCAAGTACAATTTAACAGTCTAAGCTGATATTTGAAAGGTTGTTCTAGTCTTAAATTCTATTTGACATCAAGTGACAAGTAGACTCCACTTGAGAAGAAAAATAACTACGTTAAAAGCCACAATAGGTGAAAGGAAATGTAAAATGAAAGATAAATAAATTTTCCAAATAAATAATGATAAAAATTACCTAATTGCATGGATTTAATTCGCTATTTTAAACGTTTGTCACTGCTTACAGATAATACAGAAATTTATGAAATAAATAGCATTTTAAATATGCACTGTACAGATCCCCTAAAGCGGGACTTTTAACTACTATCATATATTAGTATTTCTGTCTAATTATTTCATTGAATCAGAGGAAAAGTCATATTGTCAAAGTTCGTAGAAAATAACCTTTCAAAGGAGAAAACTATTGATCAGAATTTGTGATTCTGCTGAGGAAATTCTTTTTGCTATTTTGTCTCTAGTTTTTACTTTATTAGCTATCCATGAAGTCAATGTTTAACTGTGCTCTTAGTGTTAATTCGGATTAGTAACATGTAAATATCAGAGTATTGATATAAACATTTTCTACTTCAACCGGCATATAAATGAATCTCCGTTATTGCATGTAAGGATTATTATCATATGATATAATAAATGCAAAGTTATCTTCAATATGTAATGGTAAATTTGATAATCCTTTGAGGATATAAGCTTTGAAGATGTTCCAAAATGGGACTATAAATTATTAAAGGTAAATATGAGTGGTTTATGAAAACAAAGAAGCTGAAAAATTATAACAATATTAAGTTATTATAAAAAAACTTCGGAGTATTAGTTACTTTCAAGAGTTCGTTTTTCTTGAGACAAATCTTGTATTGATTTATGAGGCACAACATCTTTGGTAATTTTTGGTACGATACTAGGTGTATCTTGTGGTTTAATGATTTCAGCTGAAAAATATCTGTCCACGACTTTTTCGTCATGTTCGGTGGATAACCAAGCTTCACAATTAAATGTATACTTCACTAGATGATGAGTTTCGTTGGGTTGATCTTTTAAGCCATGTACACTTTGAGATTTTGAAATATTGAAGACTTCAATCATAGATAAATACCATGAAGGATTAACACCTGAATTATCATGTCTTATGCGCACTTTGTTAATTTTTCCCAAATCTACTATCTCCAACTGAAATACATCTGTCTGTTTAATGAAAATAAACCCGAAAGTATAAGTTTTACACTAGGAATTATATGTTCATAGTAACATACTTTTCAGTAAATATGGACACTCTGATAATGAAAAAAAAGCAACTGATCATAGATATGTGTCCCACTCAAACATGTAAGATAAGCTATTGAAAATATTTTAGTTCATTTCACTGGTGAATCAAGAACTCGTTGGCTTTTCAGTGAATATTTTCCTGATGAAAACTCAAAAATGATTGATGACTCAGGAATTATATACAAACTAAAGTCTGACTTGTTTCTCTCACTTTGATTTCTATGTCTTGGGAACGTCTAACATGTAATAAAACTGAACATGTATTATAGAATATATATATAGTCAACTTAATTATACCAGACGACATGACAAACTGGATGTAAGCTCTGATCTGGTAGTATTTAAGTTGAAAATATAGTTAAAATCTGAAATTAACCAGAAATAGAGAAATACGTGTTAAACTAAAAGATGATGAAAATGCAACTTTTGATAGAACCTAATAGTTCATTGTTCACTATCAATAAGCAGTGATAGTTCAATGGCCATAGCTCAAGTTACCTTACTACTGTTTATACATTTTAAAGTCGTAAGACTAGAGAACTATCATATGGAAAGTGATATCAATGAACGACAATTAAAAGTGCCAAGTTAGCGTTTTCCCATTGTTATATAGACATAGTATACGTATTACTTAACTAAAATATGGGTTTTTAAGCAAAGATGGATAGTGGCTAGCAGTGGAATCCAGGACGCATGTTTCGTCTCATTTCGGACTCGTCAGCTGGACCTAAGGCTATATCGAGTCAGTCCGCAGAGGATGCACATATGCCAACATGAGACCGATCAATCGCAGTCTTATATAACAATGGGGAGATACAAGCAAAACAACATCAAGTGAATTTGAAATATGGGTTGTATACAAAGGTCGAAATTACGAAATTTCGATAAAACCAGAAGACAAATATCCACTAAATAATTCATTGCATGATTTGGCTTATAATTTACTCATGAGTAACTTTATGTAAATTCTACTCACACTGAGATGTGTCGTTACAAAGGAAGACAATGGAAATAATAGTAGTTACGAAACATCACACTGGAAAAAGCGGCTAAGTAGTATTTTCAAATGAGTTATTTCAGAATTTAAGTAAAGGAAGTGTTAAGCCGATAAAACTTAAAACAAGATGTGATAATCTATAAAAGAGGAATTAAGACTTTTATTAAAGTTAAATGAGGATAAACAGATGAGGCAATATTTTAGATATTAATTCACACCAACTGATGTCAACTATTATTATATTTACTTAGTAAACTAATGATATCACAAAATGTGTATTCGTACCAAAAGTTTTGTAACTCTACAAGCATAATACCGTTGTCCTAATGAAACAAGATAGGTAAGTTGAGAATTTTGAACTTCTAGATACGCGATATATAAAGGATACTTTTATTTCCAGCATCCATGTATGGCGAAATAGGCATTGTGTATGGTAAGATAGTATGAAAATGGACGTTTCGAGCAAGATCGTTGAATTAAGGAAGACACAAATTTTTATGATCAGGTAGCTATATATAAGAAATATGGCCACACACATACCAACATGTACACATTTCAAAATATATGTTTATAAAAGGGAATAATGAACATTGTCAAGGTTACAGAATAACCAATAGGATCAGAATAATTAGTCTGTCTCAAAGCTAGAACAATTTGCTTGAGGGTATATTAAAAATGTTAACCTAAGAATAGATACAAGTATTTTCAGGTATTAGCGTTAAATTCTGTGAATAAATAAGGATGCATAGTATTTCTCATCGTATTACTAGATTGGAAAATTACTCACACTCAATTTTTGTAAACCAAATTTTATTTAGTAAAATTAGAAGTAAGAATCTGAGTTTTTAATCAGCATATGTCAGTCAGTTAATGGAAACTTTGTAAATATACACTGACCTGTCCACGTTCAAACTTGTTTCGATGTGTTAGAGATTTCGTCAATTTACGTTCACCACTATCACTATTTTCACCAAACAGTGTGATGTAAACAGAGGCATCAGTTCCAGCGTAGACTTTATCACCAGTGATTATTCTTACTTCATAAGTGTTCATTAACCATTTTGGTGATATTTGTCTTTCAAATTGCAATATACCATTTTGGTCTTGAAGCATGTGACTTGGAATTAGCTCACGTTCCAATGCAGCCTGATCCATATTACGTGAAAGCCATTTATTACATGGGAATATGTAAGTAACGAAGACCTAAGTGTATTTACATAGGTTAATCAAAAAAATTTCATATGACTTTAGTTCAACACCTAAGTTTTTATGAAATTACTCAACTAATGTTACGCAGCAAAACATTTTTAATGAGTATTGGAATATCTATGGTTTTATGGATTTCTGAAAATGAATGTCGTTTTTATGTATTATTTTAAGTATTCGAAAGAATGAAGCTTATAAAGAGAGTTTCTTAATAATTTAAGGCATTGAATTACTTCAATAAATACTTAGTGCGAATGATAAGAAATCTTTATGAAATTGATGATTAGTGTCTTTTTAAATGTATTTATGAAAATGAGCTTCATAAAAGTTAATAAAGATTCTAAATAAACAAATGGGACACTGTCGAGTCGGTATGAAATTATTAAAACAACAAATTTCAAAGTAAGATAAAGTTTGAAGATCTCTGAATGACTTTTATCGACTTTAGGACAGAGTATTATATATTTCTATGTAGGTGTCACAATGAATTCAAATATCTGGTACTTATTATTAAATTATGGTAGCGTTTTAGAATGCTTTTACCCGATGTAAGTATTCCATTACTTAATTTTGTTTCATAAATATTTATCAGTCTAAGTTTTAGCCATCAATAAATTTGCATCGAATCGAATTAAAGAAATGTCAGAAGTGAGAAATCACTGTATTTGACACATGAGAATAAAGACAAGTAGACAATCCTAATAAAAAGTGCACTACTTACATATTGCTGTGTTTTAATTTTCCTGATCTCGACTTTATTCAAATGCCAATCTGTTGAACTACCTTTATCATTATGCCATATTCTTAATTTACTGAATGGTTCTTGTAATTCTTCTAATTCCACATAAAATGTGTCAATTTTATTACGTTGAAATCTGTGTTCACTATCATTATTCTGATGTAGACGTTTTATGGAACTTGGCAAACCATCATTTCCGTATAGTTGTATGTATACACTACTTGTTGTTTCTGCGCCAGAAATATCACTTGTAAATGTTTTGATTTGATAGTTAGTCACTAAAAGTATACGAAAAGTACACCAGATTATTTAACGTTAACATTAATTTCAATGTTGTGGTTTAACATTTGAAGTTGTTTGAAGCTTTCCTTTTTTAAAAGTATTATCAGTGAAATTAACTGGGTTTATTAAACAACAAGAGAGGATATTACATTATCATAGGATCTATCTTTTTTGATGATGTGCCATTTATTTATTGGAACATGACACGGTTGTGTAACCATACATTTCTGTACATTGATTCCGCATTTTCATTCAATACTTCAATTAGTTCTAAATTAATACATTAATTTCAGGATATGGTTTTGTGGAGATTGTAGAATTTTCTAAGTTTAATTCATGGAATGTTCTTATTTAGATACCAAGTGAAAACTCGAAAACGCTAGGTGACTTTTGTGTCCTAACATAGGACTCCTCATCAGTAAGCATCCATGACCTTCGCATCCAGGAATCAAACCAAGGTCGCTTCAGTGGTTCAAAGATTAAGTGTCTATGCACAAGGTCCGTCTAGTACTTCCAGACTTTCAGTGGTATTCTAAATAACATCAATTTATGATTTAAACTAGGATATTTTTTATGTTTGACAATAAAAATACATGAATGTTATTATTTTAGAGAAATATTTTCTTGAATAAACAATAATTAGAATTATTTGCATTTACTGAATCAGCATATACTTTAGTTACCTATTTTTGAAACTGATATTATCGAGACTATTAAACGTAGCCTTGGATTTGGCAGGATTACGATAAATTGAATAGTTAACAATTATTGTGTTTATTTTCTTAATCACCTACCACTATTTATTTCATTGTAATAGAAAATGATGATATAGTTGTGTAAGTATCGAATATGTCAATAGTGGTTTGCTATGTCACATATTAAGAGTCTGCATAAAGATTAGTGAATGTTCCGGATGATGCGTTGAGAATTGAATATTTCAAGTGAATATTACTTGGTTACAGTCATCTCAAAATAAATCAAATTTCCTTGAAATATTAGCCCTCAATAAATAATTGAATAAATTTCAAGTTTTAATTCTCATAATGTAATTAGATTAATGAGCGGCCTATGCTCCTTCAGGAGGAGTAAGAGGCGTAAGTAAGAAAGTAATTAAGTAATTAGATTTATACTTGCAATAAATAGTTTGAAAAACTTATCCTTTTTAAATTTGTACAGTTTTCAAGAAACCACTTATTTATCATCAACTTTGAAAGATTGCATTTCATGAAATTCAATTATACTACAGAAGTCTACTACTATTTTTAGAGGTTGATATTTTCTCATTGTTATTGTTAATAACCGCAAGTGACCAATCTAAAAAGCGTTGGTATTTGAAGTAAAATATTTTGGATTCGACACAGCATAAATATCAAGCTAGGATGCAAACATATAAAACTGACGACTTCCAAACAGGAGTGTGAGTTATCCGGCAATCAGTCGGTTAACTTAGTGAAGTGAATCGCATTAGTGTATAACGGCATATAATAATTCAAATGCAACAGTATTTCTGAATATAAACTTCATAAATACATTAATGAAGGTTGACGATACGATATGAAAGGTAGAGACCTCAAGCGTACCTCTTCAACGAATGATGGCTTGGTTAGTCTTTATATAAGATGAATAAATTACGGATAACCAATTAGAGCGTAAATGTCAGTCACACTTAAAAGCGCACATGATATAGTTAGCAAGCTCACAGATGATAAAGTAAATGGAAAGTTTACGAAATGCTTGACCACGTTAGGATGATACATATAATAGCCAAACAAAAGTAGCCATCTAGGCAAGAGCTCTAGGTAAGAGCTACTATAAACCATCGTTTTGGGTATTTTAACTAAAAAGTCCTTGTACTCCCCCATAATAAGACTACATTTTCTGAATGTAATAGAATAAATTTAAATAACACTGCAAATGAACAATATCAGTTATTCAACTAAAACGTTGAATAAGTACCAGGAATACGTTTTATGTTTAATTAAATAATTTACCTCCATCATATGATAATATTTACTTACTAGGTTTGACAAATGATATATCTTTTGGTTCAGGATACAATATTAGTTCAGGTTGTTGTGGTGTAATGTATCGGTTGCATTCAAATTTCCATAAAAGTCCTAGTTTTTTCGCTTCAACTTCAACGCGTTCAATAAACCATCTAGAGGATCCTCCAGCTGTATCATGCTCAATCCTAAAGAAATCTTAGGTAGTTAAATTATTATTTCTAACCTGATTTTTTTTATATTGCCAATATTTATTGCTTTAACAATAAAATCTGCTATTTGGCCAGCTTGAAATTTATTCACAAGTATATCTTCTTTTCCATAATATGCTTTATAAAGCCTAACATTCCCTGTAAAATCTTTGTCACCGTAAAGTTGTATTTGAACATTAGCATCTGAACTGATGTTGGATTGGGATCCCGTATGAATGCGTACATGATAAATTGTACTTTGGTCTGTAAAATTAATGATTGTTATAATGCCAGAATTTAACAAAAGTTAATTGATTACATCGCAGACTACTACTTAGAAATGTCCTAAAAAACAGGACCCATATGATTGGATTGTTAATAAAAATAAATTTATATCGTTCATTTACAAGAAATTTTTGACATATTACAAACTACATGTACGTTGTTGAAACTGATGAGAACTCGGCCGATTAAGCTATAATAAAATATGGGCTAAGAACCATATCCTTGGTACTTTGTAATTCAGTCTGTCATTGCATAAGGTATCTAAAAATGTATTTACATCTGAAGCTTCTCATGGTCAGAATTTCATTCCGTTTAACATTTCAAATTGTTTGCATTCTCATATAAATAAGGCTGTTTCTCAATTTCAGTTCTATTACTTTTCGCTTTCCACAAACTCGTTCCACAAGATAACCTATGTATACATTTAGATGTAAGGGTTTTCATGATTTGATCCGCAATTTACTTTTCAGAATGATAATATGTGGATGCTATTAGCATTAAAAATCAACTTAATATCCATAACAAGATTCGAAATCTTCAAAATTTACATGGGTTTTTTAAACAACTCTGTTTATATGGTACATAATTTTGTTTAACATTATTAGTACTCATAATGGACAGTGTTATTATTTATCAGAAATAAGTCTTGGTTTGTCGTTGCTGCATAATATTTTGAAGAAATCAGTTAAATTCGTATGTTGTTTTCCCAGTTTATATCGAACTGCAGAAATAATTGTGAAATCAGTTTAATGTTAAGATTTAATCGTAAATTGGAAGTAATTACAATAGATGGAATGATGTGTCTTTTATATTGACTGGTCAGTCAGTGTATTTTTCACAATTATGCAGGAGCAGGTCGCAATTGGAATAGTTATTCGTTAATACCTATTAAAGAGATGGTAAACAAAGTGGTTCAAAATCCCTAAAGTTATTCGACTTACCATAAATTTGAAAATACCTTTAGCAGATTGTTTCATGGAAATAATAAACCCTGAGTTTATAGATTCCTGTTGGTTATCAAGGCTGAATTCAAATGAAGATAACCGTATTGCAGAACAAATTCAAACCGTACGAAAAGTCATAGTCGTTAAAGTGATTTTATGGTATGTCAATACAAGGGATCCATAACATCATTAACTAAATTTTAACTGCAAAAAATTAAGTTCTATTCATTGTCTCTCTAAGTTTCTTAAGAATATATGATGTGTATATTGTTATTGGGATATAAAGCAATGTCAATCATATGTAGTTGTCTTCATTCTGCCGCACATATTGTTTTGGTCAGACATTGTTTTCACTTATGTATAATGTAGAAACGTATAAGCATACACACAAACACGGAAACTATATATGTATATACTGGCCTTTAAGTACATATTCATTACTTCCATTATATAGATGATGCTTGTAAACTGTTTATAAACCTAGTAACTTAGATTTAATTGTTAGCCTCTGCTGATTCTTCTGATCTCATTTCCATTCAATCTAAACTTGAAATCAATGTAATCGTGAATGAATTCCGATCATAGTTTTCAGTTGCCAAATATCTCATTTAATATGAGTTAGTGATGCATATATTAGTGGACTTTCTGCTCTATGATACACTTATTATTTTGTGAAAGTGTCTATCAGCTTCATGATGCGTCCAACTTATTAAAGTTAGGAACGAAAATTAAGTTTCCAAATAATGTTTATCAATAAAATGAATATTTCGTTGACGAAATCTTCCGTAATGATTTACTTTAAGAGCAGTACAGTCGTAATATGGGTCATTAAATGACAATCCAGAAGTACAAAATCTTTTATATACCATTTATTTGGTGATAACCAGTTGATAATCAGTTGAAATTATTCATAAAACCAAACGGCATCTCCTAAAATGTGTACTCATTAACCATTTCCACATTGAAAGAGAGTTAGTAATGCGTAGCCTAAAACTATTTCTGTATGCATAGAAAGTTTGTTAGATCACTGTCTATGTCATGGATCTTCTAGATACATTTCCTATATACTTTATCAGTTTCTCTCACACTTTATTTTGAAAACATGTATCCGTCATCATCCTAAAGTCATACGTAATATCATGATTCTTAATCCATCGGTTCCGAACACATTCCACTAATTTTTTTGTTTTTGTTTATTAACTCATTAATGTTGTCATTATCACTTTTAGTCCATCTTTTTCCTTTTTCATTATAATTTTTTTTCACCTGATTGATAAAATCTTGGTTTTATAGTTGTTTACTAGCTCTCTCTTACTCTAAGTATTCTAGATGTTCAAATAATAGTTAACTTGGTTAAAAGTAATTCATAATGATATGAATATATCCATGGCTTGTTTCCCCATCCCATTTTCCGTATTATGATTTTTCTCTGTCTTATCCACACTTATCTAATCGCTTTCCTTTCTTGTGTGTGCTTTCTGAATTCATGTTATTGTGGAGTGTAACAACTTGAACTAGTTCATTCATATGACCAAGATTTTGCTAGCTAATCTACCTGATCTCTAGTACAAACTTGTTTTTTCTTGTAAATAACAGTACCTGAAAAAAATTTAATTTTTATGTCAACAGGAAAAGTATCAAGGTGTTTTATTTGCCTTAAAACTAACCATTCATGGCAATAATTTTTGGTAGAAGCTTACAATTTTCAGTCCATCAAAGTTTCCTTTATATTTTCTGTTACTGTTTACTTGATACATTATTTTTCAAATGTTAACAACGTCTATTTATCCTTTAGAATAATTATTATCATCATTTTCTTATATCCTGTCACGTGAAACGTTTTTACTTCAACAGATTATATCTGGTTTCTTTGTTATTTCTTAAAATATTTACCAGTTTCTCACTGAAAATTGCTTGTACAAATGTATAAATGAGGAGTGATATTATGTTCAACTTCAGGATTTGTAATTAATGCTGAATTTCATAGTTAGCATTACTGATTGAACTTAGCTCGTCAATCATTGAAAACTATGAAGTAATGGACAGCTATTTTGTCTTAGTATTAAGCTTCACAGCAGTAAGTAACTGGGATTGGACACAGGACTTTTAGGTTTGATAGTGGATGCTTAACTTTGAGACTATTAAGCTAACACTGGCCTACACATTCAAATTCAAATAATATGAACTGATCTTTCTGACAGCAATTTACTGTACAGACTATCAGATAACGTTCAGTTGAAAATATAATACAATTACAATTTTTTTTAGTCACTTGGATTCATATTATTAACACAATATAGTTTAACTTCCTAGAAAATCTATGTTTTTAAATATAATGGTTATTGGGATTGAGGATTTTTTTTACAGAAATCAACTATGAGACTGAATTATTGTTCATATCAAAACAATTAGAGGGAGTGGTGGAGGCTACTACCTGTAAAAATTATTCATTCCATGCATTAAAAACAATATGCTCTATTTAGTTACATGACAGAAAATAATGTTTTATTAATAGTAATGAAATAATGCCAAATAGTATCAGAGCAGTTCAAAGATTCGGTAACATTGAAACGGTTTGAAAAACGTTAACATTGATTAACATTGTCTTGGATGTACGATAAAAACCGTAAACAAACAGTCCTGAGAAAAGTAATCATTCCTATGTATGTGTTTAAAATATATTCAGACTGTAAAGTACATCGAAGATAACTGGCAATTCATCCACGGTTCTAAGATCCGTTTCATTCAAATATGAATTTTAATAATTTTCAAGCTGCATACGCCAATCAAATTCTACAGCTCTTTTCACTAGTGTTTCGGTTTTACTGATCAACATTTGTAACGTTAAGATTTTTAAAGCAATATTATACCCACTGCATTCAATATATATATCAGAAGTGAAAGTTTAGAGCAATATCAGTAAGAGAATGCATACTTTTTTTCATTAATAATGACTATTAAAATAGTTGATAATGACGACTTACTTAGGATTTACATAACTGAATGTACGACAACCACTTAAGATTCATAATAACACTGGTAACTCTGCAGAATCATATCAATCTCAGTGAACTTTATTATAAATGAAATTCATTCTTAATCTTAACTAACTAAAACACTGAGTGAAATATACGTAGTGAAATCGATTTCCATTGATGACAAAAAATTTCACTTTCTACCATTCTGAATTATGTTATAATATATTTCGAAATATAAATTACATAGATTTATTTACTTGAATACATAAATATTAGTACAAAGAGGCACCGAATACATATGCGTCACACAAGTCACTCGATTTGTGTGTGGGCTGTGATACTGCCCGGGTGTTCAAGCCGAAGCATGTGGTTTTCTTAAGGGGACATACCCGGCGCCTTCGACCTAAAGGTCTGATCCACAAGGCTGTAGAGCAACGTAAGGAGATGTAGTCCCATGTTAGTCGGTGACCAACAATTGGTTCATAATCCATTTGTTCCTTCAGGATACTGGAACCCATGTATACTATTGATTTGGAATCACGGTTTTCCAACTCCCCTAGGTGGACTCTCCATGTCCACCAACCCGGTTAAAGCATCAGACATTCGCTTTTCGTCCTCTCAACTTCTTAAACACCCTCGCCGCGAGAAGACAGTGAGTAGGACTTCCCCGGCAGTGGCTGTATACGCGTGGCCATGTGAGAACATTTCGAGAGGGAGAGCTAACATTCCCTACCAGGGCATTTTGGGGCAAAGAAATTACATAAAAATTTTGGTTTATAAGTAGAACTGAAGATAAATAGTACATTTAGTCCATATCGGTTTCATCATTATTTTCTTTCTCTATGCAAAACACTGTCAGATATTCTTTGGTTTAAAAGTTGTGAATTACTGAATGATATGTTTAAACTCAATTTATTATGTAAATTGAAACAAACCTTCTAGAATAAGTCTTGAATCGTCAAAAATATCATGGCCAGACTTCCACCTTTCAAAAATATTTTCTGAAGCAACAGAAAGCTCCCGAATAACCAAACCATCTAATTCTGTAGCAGATAACCATTGATAGCAAGGAAAAAAATATTCCAGTTTCTTTTGTTGAATACTTTCACGAATTAAAATACAATCTAAAAACCAACCGGGCGCGATACCTGTGTTGGTATGTCGTACTCGAACCTTTTTTAATGAGCCCAAACCTATTGAATTTAGCTGAAACCAATGTAGCATGAATAATAAGTTTATGTAAAGAGTAAAGAATCCAAGACTTAATATATATATAAAAAAATACTGATGACTTTCCAGTAGAAAACGTGTGCATATTTTCACTACATTATATGTTCATGTGATAACTTGTATTGGATATTATCTAAATGCTTAATAACAGACTCCGTTTCGTTATTGAAACTACTCAACATGTTTCAATTTAATAAAACTACTTATATGCAAAGTATACTTCGAGTACTTCATACTGGAACTTTGATAATAAATACGTTTTTTACTTTATTAATCCTCTAAACATTATTTTATTATTTTATAATTTTGCTTGAAAAAATAAATCTTTTGTCTTAGAAAACATGAATTTACAGTTTATATCACTAACAGACTGATCTTCCTGATTTCAATAAATTTTCGTTTCACTACTTCCATGAAATATGAGCAACCTAACATTTCGAAAAAGTATTCGCTTGATTGCATTACAGTAATATTTAAGAAAATAATCTTCCAAATGTATGATAAACGTTTATAATGTAAACAAAAAGTCACTAATATAAAGTGGGCTTTAATAGTTCCAGTTGAAAACGATGAACTATACCATATTTCTATTTGATAACAATTACAATAGCGATGAACTAGTATGAAATTATTCGAATATTTTATGGAGAGACTTACATTAAATATGTCTTCGTGATTTTGTTCGAATTTGTTGTTATGAGTTTTTGAATTTGCTAAATGATATTCTTTTGATTCACTGTTTATTCCAAACAATGTTAAATAAACATGTGAATCGGTACCTGCATACTTACGATCACCAGTTTTTACAATTACTTCATAAGAAGACTCTGTTAATCAAAAGAAGAAAGAAAGACATTTTGTTAAGTATATGCCCTTTTAGTTATTTAATGGTGATCATCTAGATGGATAATCGTGTTTTTTTTTTCATACTTGCACAGTGACAAATCCGAAAGATATTTTAAGCATACGTCTTTACCATTTATTTAGTTGACGAATTGGAGTTAAAAAACATAGGCAGATCTACAGTTATTTCATCTAATTAAGCTTAGAGTGTATAAAATAACTGTCATAATTTTTTTTAATCGGTGATTTAGATTCATAGTAACGTTTTACTTGTATGGTCATTGTAATCGCTTGGTCAACCTATATACCAATTTATATCTGAATGATTTTAACACACATTAAACACTTATGAAGTGGATATTATTATGCTCTGGATGATTTAAGATGTAATAATAATAATAATAATCAAAGAAGAGATTTTTTGTTGTGGATATCATAATAGTTTATTATTTCAATTCATGGGTCAATTGAAGCTAGACCATTATGGAAAATCTGGAAGCACTGGGAGTGGATCGGTAGAAATTGGGCATTAACACAGTTGGATGCCGGTTCAGTGATCTAGTGGTTAAGCGCTCGCGCATGGGACTGGTGGGTCCTCGGTTCTAGTCTCACTAGGCGTGATCGTAGGTACGCACTGCTGAGGAGTCCCATAATAGGAGGAAACGGCCGTCCAGTGCCTCCAGGTTTTCCATGGTGGTCTAGCTTCAATTGACTGATGTATTCAACTATTAAATTAGTAATAATAATACTTTCTATACACTGGAAATTTTTATCTTTAGGAATGTTATTCAAACTAGTTTTAGTGTTATTCAGTTAAGCTTACCCATAAGACTTTGTAAAGGTTTGCCATTTTCAGTGGAAGAAAATTTTTCACAGTTCATTTGTTTGTTATCATATTGTTTGGACAACCAAGCATTGAAAAAGAACCAATAGTTTTCAGCTCCTTCTGCATCTTTTATTTCTTCAGGGACGGAGATTATAGATGGTGAACCATCAAGATTTTTATCAGTTTGTGGAACATTTAACTGATCAGAACCTTTCTGCGGTATCATGCGATTAATTTGGTGATCGGTTTTATCTTGAATGAATATTAAATGAAAACTGAATGAATATCAAATATCCCTTAGTTTGAAACTCCTTCTTAAAACATATCAACGACCCTATATTCTGTACAACTGATTATTTTCAGGCGACACTTATAAAACTGGAACACAAATCAGCGTAATACATTAACTGACTCCACTTACTCCTGACGGATTTTTTACTATGATAGAATAGGTATTCACTCCTGCCTAGATTTAAAAAAACTATTCTAGGTGGTACTATTTTGGTGGTAAAAACTATTTTTATGATATGACTTCCACTACCAGACATTGTTTTGTTTTAGTTAAATAATAAAATGTAATCTGTTGTACAGACTTGATATGTGTAGACTAACATAAGTTAGCCTTAGAAATTAAACTGACTGTAAGTTTAGTAGGCTTGTAGGAACTTTGTTGTTTTCGTTTACAACTTGATAAGTATTTCATTACTTACCAACTAAATCGATGTCCCCATTTCCATTGAATGACCAAATATATTTAATTGGATGCTTACATGTTATTCAGTGAGGAACAACAACACCAGATACCCGGAAAACTTGGATGCCGTTAAGAGCTTAACCCCTTATCAAAACTAAGATGTTATACACATCAACATAAAAAAATACTTGAGAGCACTAACCTTTAGATACTTGACTCGTTAGTGATCTAACTGGGCTAACTGTTGGGGAACGATTCATTTTTTGAAAGAAGTTAGATGGCTTTCTTATGAGAACTTTTTCTAAAAACCATCCATCCGATAAACCTGTCCCATCACGTTCAACTATTAATTTCTGTAAAGGTCCAATATCGGGTGCAAATATCTAGGTGAAATATAAGAAGAGTTGAAATGAGTCCAATAATAACGCATGTATGCTAGAATCTAAAACCATCTATTAACATTTCATATATTCGAATGTCACATCAAAACAAAGAAAAATTTATATTCCGGGTCCTACCACTAGTTAGCGCAAAATACAATGAAATACTTTGTGACTGCTTGACATGCTATTAGTTATTTAAACGTGGTAGAAGTATGCTATCCTGAAAACTTTGGGTGATTCAGCCAATCAGGAAACACTGCACAGTTATAAAACAACAACTTAAAGCAATATGATAACAGTGGAATAACAGATTTTATCTGAATAATTAACCCCACCTATCAAATGATCCCTCTTAATATAAGAAAAAGGTCAACTTTACATATTAAGATTTAGGATTATCATGATTTAGGGTTCTCGTTACCCACTGACATTAGCTATCATGCAAGCGTTAGGTTTAGGTATCAAAAGTTAAACTGGAGTGTTGAGTTAGGTTTACTAAGTAGGGTAGAAGTTTTCATCTCAAACTGATACAGGCATAATAAAATGTCTTGCCATCCTTCTGTTTACAATCTTATGAAATTTGACATTGCGATTTACAGTAAGAGTCAGAGTGAGAGAATACTATTCGGTCTTACTAAACACGCTTGAAAACGCACTGAGTTGCATCACGTACTTTAACGCACAATCTGCCTTAGGAGCAGGTATGTTTTGTAATTCAGCTTCAACATAATCTTTAATTAAAATTTCGACGGTACAATAGATATCTTAATTTATTTCAATCGTGTTAAGAACCAAATATTGTCAATTTTCATTTTGTTAATAATAGCATATACGTTATCTACCCCCTGCGCTTTAAATTTTGCGCAAAATATATGAGGGTTTATCTTAATTCTGATTCGTTCAGTCAGGGTCATCAGAATATTATTCTTTTACTTCTAACTTCTTAAATTTTACAAAAAATAATTCAAAAAGTGTTTTCAAAAATAGTTACTCACACGAAATGCTTCTGGTTGACCGAATTTGAAATGATGTTGTGTTCTTGACAATCGTATAATTTCAGTTTTTCTCTTCAATGGTGTTCCATACAGTTGAACAGTGACAATACTTTTTGTCTGACTACCACTTCTGTCACCAGTGAATATAATGATTTCGTATGGGATCACTAAATATAAGAAAGAAGAAGTTTTATTTTGTGACTTCTGTAGTTTAATGTACAATAGATAAAAAATTTCAGATATTTTGCTACTTAATGGTTACCAGAGAAATACACGTTTTAATAACCCTAGTGTTTAACGGAAGGTGCAATAAGAAACTCAAAATTTTTATTCTAAGGATACATTTATTTTCAAGTGTATCTGTATTTTTCTGTTATAGGGTTGAGAAATGTTTGTCAGCATCTAATCTGAATATTAATACGATTTAACTCATTTTTTGCCTACACAGTTAAGAATTCTTATAAACGTATAACATTAATATTGCGCTCTTATGAATATAAAGTAAACTTCAAGTAATTCAGAGAGCCTCAGATGTTCATTGGCCTACAAATTACTAGAAGACGAAAACAAAAAAATTAATGAATATGGTAAATAGACTTTCGGTTTTATCACTGGATCTAGATAATTAACATGACTTTATTTATTTATTCTTTAAATTATGAGGTGATGATATGGTGTATGCTACTTATGTCGACAGAGAGAACTAGTACGTAACACCAATCGGATGTGGAGAACCTGGTAGCAAAAGGTTGGTATGATAGAATTGAAGAGAACGGGAACAGAGAGTAATTGTTATAGCAATAAAGGGACGATGAAGTTTGGGATGGGGGATGTGCAAATGAATTACTGAACATGTGGTTTCCACATCTGATGAAAGAACTCTGTAATTTAGTATTAAAATATTACCAGTTTTCCCCATTTGTGTTCACTACAATAGTACTCTACTATTTAATGACTTCTACACGTCAAAACTGCATTATAAAAAATTTGATATGATAATAATTTAAACGTTTTAAGACAGTACTTTATTATCACAGCTGAGTTCACAACTAAGATAAATAACATGTAAGAAAGATGAATTAATTTTTCTTACTTCTTTCTATGTTAATGATACTTGTTGGCTGTAACTCTAATGATATTAGTCCATCGGCTTCATTTTTAGCTAACCATCTATTTACATGGAATACATATCGACGTCCGAGAAAATAATCAATCACAACTACTTCATCCAAGAACCAGCCTGAATGTGGGGCAATACTATCATGCCAGATTTTGATTTTCTTTATCTGAAATAAATTAAAACATTTTATGCTTTAATTTTCTTGGTATTAGAAACAGAAAAATTATGTTTATAAAAATTAATTCCATATTTCGGCATGGAAGTATACAGAATAATCTAGGCTTCCAAAGTTCTGCTCTGTTCCATAAACTAATGTGGAAATGGAACAACACTACATAATTATTTGTTTGATAATTAAATTACCATAGTTTCTGTTATAATTTCCGAATTATTTAGGCCATGAGAACTTATAATGAAAAAAATCACTAATCTGAAACAAATGTTTACCATTAATACACCATGACCACAATGGCTGAACACAATAAACGAATAGGATTTCTTTGCTTAGTTATATTCAACACTTCATATGATGATTGAAAGCCATGCAATAACAATTTATTTTCGGATGATTTTTAAATTTCGTTGATATTTGAGATGAATAATTTATAATATTGTACAGACAATCTATCACGGTACATCTATTAACAGAACTTTACTGATGCACTACTCAATAAAACACTTTAGGATCTTTATGTAAACCAATACTTGTTTTTTTTCAGTATGATTATTTTCGTATATAAGATTCTTCATAATTGTAGATACTCTTTAAGGCATCCAAGCTAACTGCTTTCCTTGTGATTGATTAACTCCGTGGAGTATAAAGTTTATGAAGTAAATTTTTGAAATCGTTCGTAAACGGGTTAATAGTTATAAGTGCTTTTAAATTCAATAAATGTACTAAAACGTAAATACTAGCAAAAAGTCAGTACAATTGAGATATGAATGTTATTGAATCCAAAGTGCTAAAAATGGCTAGCAGGGTGTGTAGTGAGGTCATTATCAATGTGGTTGTGGATGGATATCTAAAGTTTTGTAAACTCCTGGCAAGTGTTATTCTATGGGATACTAACTATCCACTTCATTCGTATCTTTTGCCTTGTATATCTTCTGGTTGAACGAGACGTCAATACATTAGATTCTATGCTCGCAAGCAAAAACATATAAGCTCTACAATATCTTATCTAACAAATATACTATGTGACGACCAGGTTCTTAGTGTTGACCTAGTTAATAACTTGTATTCACTTTCTTTAAAAAAAAACATATCTTTCTATTCTGGGTAGTTTATTTATTGAATTTATGTATAAATAAATAAAAATAATATATAAAATAATATATAGAACCAATAATCGCACAACTACCGGAAAAAGAGTCGCATTTACTACGTCAAAAGACTTCCCATATTCTGACTGAACAAAAACACATTACACCAAACATTTCAAAAGAAAAATTGAAGGCTCTGCATTCACTTAAAAAAGACAAAACGATTATCATCACAAAAGCCGACAAAGGCAACACAACAGTAATCATGAATAAAACAGATTATATTAATAAAGCTCTTGAACATCTCTCAACAGGACCTTATGAAAAGATCAATCCAAAAACTTCTCTAACGATTAAGAATAAAGTCAAATTAGAAACAAATCAACTTCTGAACGAGCTAAAACCAATCATTGGGGTCTCGCTTTGGTTTGCTTTGCATCCCAAATCATGTAATGTCTCACGGTTTTATGGCTTACCAAAAATTCATAAACCAGATATTCCTCTAAGACCGATAGTAGACTTCACAAACACCCCAACATATGCATTATCGAAATATTTAAGCAATATATTAAAACCACTACAACTCAACTTACATAATATAAAGACACATATGACTTTAAATCAAAATTATCCGGATTAATCATCGAGAAGAATGAAATCATGGTAAGCTTTGATGTCGTTTCTTTATACACAAGTGTTCCCATTGATAAATGCTTAGAATTCATTAGTGGTTTACTTGAGAACGACAATACTCTTCCTGACAGATGTCCGTTGAGCATCAGTCTAATCATGAAATCCTTAAAACTTTGCTTAAATTCAACGCTATTTACTTTTAACGGTATGTTGTTCAAACAAACTAACGGTGTAGCGATGGGATCCCCCGTGTCCCCGATTGTAGCCAACCTTTTTATGGCATACATAGAATCAAATATCTTCGCCCACAACATTATACCACGAATTTGGCTTAGATATGTAGACGATACATTTGTTGTTATAAAAAAGACTCATCTAAGATCTTTTTCAAAACGAATAAATACACTTTCATCGCACATCAAATTCACCAATGAAAATGAAAATGTACATGGTGAGCTACCATTCTTGGATTGCTTAGTAAAAAGAAATCCAAATGGAAGTCTAAACCTATCCATTTACCGAAAGCCGACGCATTCAAATCGTTATATTGACTTCCATTCAGCACATCCTTTCAGTGCTAAGATCTCGCTAGCCTTAAATCTTTTTAGAAGAGCTAACAAGATCATCACATCAGAGGAAGACAAACAAAAAGAACAAATGAATATAATTAGCATCTTACAATTTAATAATTTTCCTATGAAGATTATTAGAAGCATATTAAAACAAAACAGTTTATTACATTATAATAATGATTCGAATGAAATGCCATGGATTGGTACTGTAGTTCTACCATACCGTCATGGCACAACAGAAGAAATCCAAAGAATCTTAAAACATCACAGAATTAAAGTGTATTACAAAACAACGAACACACTACGTAATACTTTAGTTCGCCTGAAAGAAAAAATCCCTTTCATGTCCACACAGAACTGCGTCTACAAATTAGGTTGTATCGATTGTGATGCCTATTATATTGGAGAGTCATCCCGCGAAATCTTGACTAGAGCCAAAGAACATATTAGGTACACAAAGAAACCTCCTAACAATCCTGTAGAATTGAACCAACTTCAAATTAAATCGGCAATAGCAGTTCATGCCATTTTCAACAACCACCAAATCGATTTTAAAAATATCAAAATATTGCAAAAAGGCTTTTCCAACTACAAAGAAAGGAGGGTAGCTGAGGCGTTCCATATAATGCTTAATCCTACTTCTCTCAATAGAAAAGAAGGCCTTACCATACATCCTACTTGGACCATCTATCCTAACCATTCAGTCTGATCGTATTTACAATTTCACACTATCATATTACAAATTTAAACTCTATCCTTTCTTACCATAAAGGTCACACAAGTTTTCATTCTTAAATAATGCACACATACACACACACACAAATTTACATACATATCACTTATGAATCACCTTGACAGAAATGACATGACATCAACTTGTTCAGACCTGTTTTTGATTGATCAAATATTATTCTTGCATTGTTCCGTTGTACTATTTAAACTTGGATAAATTTTAATTTGGTTATTTATTCCCTGAAGAAGTGACTTACACTAAGTCACAAAACGTCAGAAAATCTAATTTTCTACTCAGTGGGATATTAAAAATATATTATTTTTACTTATAACAATCAACCCAATGCTCAATTTATTCGAAATTATCAAATCAAACCTTGGTAATGATACCTATTTATGTATAAATGTCTGCAGCTATCATTTTTCCCCCACTTTTATGTAAAAGAAACTTGTTGAAATACCTTGTGCTTAGAAGCTCATACTTTACCGAAAGTATAATACTGAGTAATAATATTAATAAACCACATGTATAAAACATCTTTTCATTAAAGGTGAGTATATCAACAGTATATCAACACAGCATGCACTGATCCAGTCACAATTGACGGAGAAGATTTGGAAGATGTAAAAACCTTTACATATTTGGGCAGCATCATTGATGAACATGGTGAGTCTGATGCAGATGTAAGAGCGCGGATCAGTAAAGCAAGAACAGCATATTTACAATTGAAGAACATCTAGAACTCAAAACAACTGTCAACCAACACCAATGTCAGGATTTTCAATACAAATGTCAAGACAGTTCTACTGTATGGGGCGGAAACCTGGAGAACTACAAAAGCCATCATCCAGAAAATACAGGTGTTTATTAACAGTTGTCTACGCAAAATACTTCGGGTCTGTTGGCCGGACACTATTAGCAACAACGTACTGTGGGAGAGAACAAACCAGATCCCAGCGGAGGAAGAAATCAGGAAGAAGCGCTGGTAGTGGATAGGACACACATTGAGGAAAGCACCCAACTGTGTCACAAGACAAGCCCTCACATGGAACGCTCAAGACCAAAGGAGAAGAGGAAGACCAAAGAACACATTACGCCGGGAAATGGAGATAGATATGAGAAAAATGAACAAGAATTGGATGGAACTAGAAAAGAAGGTCCAGGACAGAGTGGGTTGGAGAATGCTTGTCGGCGGCCTATGCTCCATTGGGAGTAACAGGCGTAAGTAAGTAAGTAATATCAAAAGAATTAGACCTTAAAAAAATGATAATAAAACAAATTAAATTGAATGACTGAATGTTTTAATGTAACTGTTTAACAAAATATAAATGATTTCTAGTTGACTTTATGACTCTATAGCAAATATAAAATTATAATAGATAGTTTATCTTCCTTTTAGAAACTTCTTTTCTACCGGTTTTAGTGATTGAGAAATTTCATCTTAATTTGAAACTTATTATACAAAGATTGAAAAGAAAAACGTTCTAACTAGAAAACCGAACTATCTTAAACTTAAAGATTTGTACTATTATAGATAATATAATTCACGGTACAACGAAACAGATACCCTAGAACGAAGATGAACTTAAAAAAAACTACCATTTATAAACGAACAGATTAAATCGATAAGTGCATTATACTAACTAATTTGTTTGCTTCCATACCTAAGCATCACAATTAAGTTTCTTTGATATTGTTCTATTTGAAGGCAATTAGTTACTTTTAAATCTAGAATTCTCAAAATGTTCACACAAAATCCTTAGCACTATGGCATGTAAACAGACAAATGATCAACGAACATAATGGAATGAATCTGATTTGTTAAATAAATAACAGAATACTATTAAGTAAATTCACTTTCATATTGTAAAGAGCGTTTGATAAGAAGGCAGTCAACAATTTACAAGATCCGTTATAAATGCAAATTGGACTGAAGTCCAATGGGATATCCTACTGCATTTTAGGCATGAACCATGGACAAACTTCAGTTCTCTCGTAGCACCTTTTTAGTTGTAAAGTAATTCGACTGTAATCGTACAAAAGTATTATAGATCTACTCCAGAACTATAAAATGATTCTCTCACATTTTCTTAAATTAAATAGAGCTTACTTCACCAAGTTTTCCACAAGCTAAAATGAATTCTTCAGATTTTCCAGCTTCAAACTTTGTAATTTCTGTCTCTTTATGCTTCAGTTGCATATCTTTACTTTCACCTTGTAGTCCATACAAATGAACGAATACATTTGCTACAGTTCCAGCATTTCGACATGAACCAGTTAATACTGTTACATTATATGCAATAGCTGTGAATAAAGAAAACATAACCAAGTGGCGAAAATTATCATTACATATATGACTTAAAATTTAATCAATGGTAATTCGCGAGTCATGGAGGTAAACTTACTTACTTACTTACGCCTGTTACTCCTCGTGAAGGAGCATAGGCCACTCACATGGAGGTAAAGTTAATGCAGAATTAATTCTTTGATTAATCATTCATTATCACGTCAATTTTAATTATATAATGTAAACTTTGTGCACCACACATTGTGATTTTACTTTGATAGGGATCAACAATAGCTTGTCATTTCATACATACATCTACCCCAATTTTTATAACCGAATCAAAGATACAAAAGTTACCTTTTCGTTAGAGGGGGTTTATATATATAAGCATATGCTGCTAATCAATCTTTTATCACTACATTCTATGCAAAATGATATTTATGAGACAATGATGCTGACACAATGCTTGTTTCATGTATAAAAATGCTAATAATAATATAATGATTGAATAAAATTAGGTCTTTATTCTCCCTTGTACTATTATTCTTTCAGCAACAGTATTATTCAAAAATCACTTTAATCTAACTAGTGGTGGATTAAAGTGTGTTAACAGAGTTGTTCATTTACTATATAACAAGTCTTTATAATTATATGTCAGATTTTGTTCCTTGATATTCTTTCCGCGTGTGGGAACCTTAGGTAATCGCGCATGAAACTATCTTAATCGTTATTCTACAATACTGTTTAGTGTGGCTTGTTTTAGCACGATCCCTTTACCTTTTATGGCCACATTAATATTATACCAAAATTTTCATAAAAAATCTAACAAAATTGTTTTGTAGACTTTGATATGAGGAGTGTATTAGTATAGTTAGTCTTTCTGAGAAACTGAGGTTCAAACAAGAATGAATAGAAAATCCCTTTCTTTATAAATATATTATCGCTGGACTTTAAAATTTCGGGATATTTACATTGTTCATAAGTAATAATAAACTTCTTCATGTAATCTAGTTTTCCAACCTTTGACTAGATATGTTGAATTTCGATGGCTGTATGCTTCACTACATTTCACTTGGAAATCATTTAAATAATTTTGCAATGTATATTATTTAAACTATCGTAAAAAAGTTTAACATATTTATTTCAACCTGAACTACCTGTTCCTACTAAGAATACTTGTTTGAGGAAAACGAACTTTTGGGCAACAAATTGAGCTACCTACATCCTTGTATTACCAAAATCTATATTTGCTTCTTAAGTGGAATTTCTTAAAGATTGTTCCAGAAAGTGGGATGCCACATCAAATACATAATGATAACATATATTTTTCCATAAAAGCGTTCACTCAATTTGTGTTATTTTAGATTGTCATCATCTATTCACTAATAGGTCGGAAGTATATGAAATATGACTTATTTTATTTTACTTAATATGTTATAATTAGAGGTAACTATAGTTACCCTTAATATACAGAGCTGGGGTAAATAACAGTAATATAACTTAGTATATACCAACAATAGAGCTGTTTACAAACGATACTTACTTATTAGTTATATTTTATCAAATATATACCCTTCTAAGGTAAAAATTGAAAATTTTATATGAAATTGTTTGAGGTTATTTACAATAGAAATGGTGAATATTCATTAGTAAACTTAGAATTTACTGAAACATTAACTGATATCTACAACACACTATAAAGATTTTTAGGCAAGATCACGTTTTAGTTTACATGTCCATGGCGAAGCATTTTATATTTAAAGAATATAAACGAAGGTTATTCTCCATATCTCTAAGCATACTTCACACTACCTGAAATTAAAGTGTCAGTTCATTTTTAATCTTAAGAGCATCCTCTCATCAAAGTAATAGTGAACATCATTTATCTCATTTTACATTATTGATAAGCTGTTAGACCTAAACTTTTAACTTCAGTTTTGATTCTTTTTAAAAAATACCTTCATATGTTTTAAAATTGTTTCTTAGAATTTCTACAATTCGTTGATGCTTAAATGAATATTCAACCTTATAAACATTTATTATCCTTCATCTAATTCCTAGGTTGCAAGCATCTAGCTAAAATCATATAAATAATATAATGTTTTTGTTTCTAGAATGGAGAGGTTCTTTCTAACTGCTTGCTTATAGAAGTTAAACAAATTCATGTGACAATAAGAAATCATAACTCCTAGATACGTCTATGACAGTTCTTTGTCTTCTGATCTCTGACAAAGAACTGGTAAAAGATCTCACTAGAAAAGGTCACCAACTTCAAAAAGAAACTCATCTGAGATAACCAATTTCTTGGACGTATATGTGTTCTACTGTTTTTATTACACATTGTATTGCATACAATCTATTAAACTTAATTATTATTTATTTATTTGTTATCTTTTTATATGAAACAGTCAATAAAAGTCCCCCAAAAAATTCTGTTCATTTAATTTGATAAGAAACATTTATCTATAGAATAAATGGGGCGATTTTAAGTTTCGTTAAATTTCTAAAAAAAATCTACATTACCATTTAATGAACTGTGAGCAAACAATTCGCGAACAATTTGTCCATCGTCTTCTCCGACATCAAACCATCTGTAAATGGTCAGAAAACAGTTATTCCTCAGTAATCTTTTCTTAAATAATGTTAGACGTATTAAAATGATAATGTTTAAATAATTATACAACAAATTAATTCCTAACACTAATAGATATTCAGTTGAATTTAGATTAAATTAAAGATTAAAGCTGACTAGTTAAGTTCATTGGGTATCTTTGAAATACTGAGAAATATTTAATTTGCTTTTTTTTCTGAGCTTTACTTTTAAAACTTATTGCTGGATACCCTTCCTGATATTGTGAAGCCCTTCATTTTGACGTCAATTAGGTCGGGCGATGTTGTCGACAAGCTCAATACTTTAATGACCCGAGATCTGACTCCAGTTAGATCGTATAATTGATTGTTGCTGGACATATGTCGTCTATTCTCGCATAAATTTTATCGACTTAGTGTATATAACGAAATTAAATAAGTCGAATACGAGGATGGATCTTCGAATACATATATTTCGTACAATCATTGATCTGGGCAGACAATCAGATAGACGAAGCGAGATTTTGCGCAGTAGAGAAGGCAATGAGTCAACTACATTTAGTCCAGCGTTAATCAATATTTATAGTCACACAATTATAAGCTACAGACATGTAATGAGTAGGATAAGATGTGCACACACATGCGCTCATGTAAAAACAGTCAGGATTGATAAGTGAATAATTAACAAGGTCAAAACGTGACTTGAAAATAATGGATAAATTATCCTCTCCAGAAGCTGGAATAAGTTATGTGGGCTTAACATATTAAACAACACTACAATGTTATTACAAATTATTATGTTAATTTCTAGGATATTTTTAAAGATAACGGCTAATTTCACAACTGATTTGTTTGCAATGAAGTGCGATTTAAAAAATGTGTAGCATATCGACATCATCACAGGAATATATAACCTAGGAGGAACTAGTAATCTGTGTCATCTTAGCTTAGTATACCGAAACATGTTCGTTACTGATGCCTTCTGATGAGATTTAAAAATATATTGATTCGAGGATGAATGCATTAATAATAATAAACTGCTAGCATATGATCCTAAATTATGTACATAATAGCTTTAAGCAATTAGTTGTTTAACTATCTAGGTCTCTATCTTGATCTCAAGTTTTTACTAGTTTTTGTTAGTTGTCTAACTGAATTCAATATACAGTGCAGACTTTTACAAGATTACCAATGTAAATTATAATGTGACAATAGTAAAATATTAAGAATGGTGATATTTAAATGAAAAATTTGTAACCAAGATAATAAATTACTTTGTATTTATAAAAAAAGATGAAATAGTCCGCTTTAATTTCAACAAAGTTTCGCTCCTATTCACATAACTAAGGTATACAAAAATAATATTTCAAAGAAATCATCATAGAGAAATCTACGCTTTTTGTATGACCGTGATTGATACGCGACAATTCCGTAAGCTAATATTACCAAAGCTCCGTATATTACAAGTACTTCCAAAGTTTAATTAAAATCGTAAGCTTTTTAACGGAATAAAATATGACGTCAGAAATCCCTTGAAAAACAAAGCTTTTAGAATCAATTAAAGTACTTTTCATCACACAAACTTATTAGAATTTAACAGTGGATGAAAATCCCTTACCGATAACACTCAAATGTAAGCTTGTATTTAGGGTTTTCTTTAATGGTTAATACTATTTTTGCCAAATACCAACCATATCCAGGTGATCTTTCTTCATGACCGATACAAATTTTGGAGATTGAACCCAGTTGAACTGCTTCAATAACAAATTCATCCATCTTAGGAAAAAATATCAAAAGATTAACAAAATGATAGAAAGTACGTTAAAAAAAGTTGATAGTAATTTAGGCGTCAAATCTTTAGAAATAGTAAAATACATTCTGTTCATGAAATTAAATTATTGGCAATCTGTGTTCTTTTTAACTTCTTGATGGCACAGAATCTACAATGCATTTTAATGTAAGTGAACAGAAACATGAATTCACAAATAAGACCTGGATGTCTATAAATACTATAAAATACTGGAAATTACAATCGAATTCTTTACCATCTCCACTTATAACAATGAGTAGTATCATCCGAACTACTCAAATTTGAGAAAAATTTCAGTTTAATCACATGACGTTTATCATTTGCGGTATATTTAAAGTACATTGATATCGAGTTTTCTATGTATTTGTAAGTGATGTAGATCTAATGATGTTAAGTACTCATTTAAAACGTTATTAAGTTTAACCGCTTTTGTTAATTTTCAATGTAACTTTGTTGACTATTCTGTCATTAAAAAGATTATTTATTTTACCCATTTCACAAACTGATTTCACTCTTAGCAGTTGATTAAGTGAAGATTTATAAACTTTTCCATTTTTTTGAAGGTACTAAAGCTTTTTTAATAAATTTTGTTACTCGTTTCAAGATCCCCGTCATATTAAAAGACTAGTATTTGAACGAAGAATATTCTTTTCGATAAATTCTCATCAGGTTCTACAGTTATATATCCAAATTAATAATCCGAAAAAATGGCCAGGTTAATACATCGTTTAGAGCATGTGAATTTAGGATTGTGGTAAACAAAATACAATAATTTCAATGGTTAAGATCATGAGTCAGTTGAAGCTAGACCACCATGGACCGGCAGTAGCCCCCGGAGGGACTCCAGGCGGAGTCTCTGAGTATTTAATTATAATTATGAAAATAGGAAATTATAAGCAATGAGTGATTTATGATGCTCTCATTTTTCCAGATACTTACGTGTTTAAGTTAATTTAGCATGACCCTAATTGTTACATTTCCAACATAAGTCCTCTTGAAACGTGTGGTGTTTTTGAAAGAAGTGTAGACCTCTGAGTTGATAAATTTAGGGTTGTTGGTAAGAAACATTTCAGTGAAATGAGAATTTTTCAAATTTTGTAGCTAATATAAATTAGCAACACATATTTGGAATTTTTTATTTATGGTATCGAGTGAAAGTATAATGGACCTAAACAAATACCGAATACTTCTGTTATTTACCTCACAGGGAAACATAACAATAGGACAATGAACACAATCCTTGAATGAACTCCATAGCTTATGCAAATGTTGCTTAGTCGTGGTGTACGTTATTGCCATAGTCTACATTCAAGACGTTAACTGACATATCTGTAGAGGGACAAATATAATCATCTACTAGATTCTCAAGAAAGATCATTTTGATTCTAGTTAGTTATTTTGGGTGTGTTTCTTTCGATTTATATTTTCTGTTTATTTATTTATTAGAGAGTGAACGCATGACCTAGTTCAGATATATTCGACTAACTTGTTTGAATGGGCTAACTGAAACATACGATGTCATAATCACAATAAACAGTATGCTGAATATTCAGGAAAAAATACCAAACCGTTTTTTGTGCTGAGATCTAATGTATGAACTATTACTTTACTAGTAATCATCGTTAAATACTAGTCCTAGATGTTACAAAGTTTATTGCTGCACGTTGTTAACTAGCAACTATTTAATCACATGTTTTTCACTGCATTCTTCACAAGTTTAGTGTTTAGTGGAAAATTTTTAGGTGCCACGTGGATTGTCTTTGGTATTCTATAATACGATTACTATTGGTGCATGATTTTTTTTCACTTGTTACTAACAGGAAATGTCACTAGACTTTATATTTTAAGTGTAATTACTTTAGGTGTAAGCTTTATGTCCTCTGGCAAACTATTGAGATCATTAAGCATCCACCTTTAGTTAACAGAGAAAAAGTGTTTCGCTTATTCTCATCTATCAGAAATCCAATATGATATTATTTCTAAGTAAGGTGATGCTATCGGATATTTTGAATACCAAGGAAAATGATTTTTAAGAAGTGCTGACACCAGCTGGCGGACCACTGACAATCAGAAAGCTCTAGGCAACAGTTTCATCTATGTCATTGAGTTAGTCATGGTATCCTCCAATGATCTCCAAAGAAAACCTGAGTTAATATTTATACTCACACGAGAAATAAGTATTCAGAAAAATTTATTCGAATTAACATTGGAATCCATGATTTATTAACCCAACTATGTCAATACTGGAGCAGTTACCGACAACATCATAATCGAGTGATACTATAAAATAAATTTATCAACTTGCTGAAAGTAAATCACTGGATTCTACTTCAATGATTAACTTGTACTGTTTTATTTTTGAGACCCAAAAGTCCATGAGTTCAGTTCCGTATTGAGTATGAAATTTATACTATTACCAAGTATCAAACAGCTTCTAAGCAGTTGTAAATTAGTTTTCCATACTTAGTGATTCCCAAGCTAAGATTGCTTTATAATTAGAATTATTTTCGGATTATTATCTCACTGACCATTATATTCGCCCTTCAAACATATGCTGAAATCTTAATTTAAAATCCGATAAATAGTTTCATTTTGACTGGTAAATTCTCTTAGTGCTACAAATACTTTAAACTTACTTGATTTTGTTGAAATAACTCTGAGTTTCGATTAACTGAATGTCCAAGCCATCTTTCACCACAGTCACCTTTTTCACCAAATATATTTATAAATATATTTGCATTAGTACCAGAGTTTGGTTTATTCCCAGTGAATATTTGAAGTATGTAATGATAAACTACAACAAGAAAGAAACCAAATAAATACATAATTTTATGTAGACTGTATACAGTGATTCAAGTGGTTTCTTTCTGCTTAAGAAATTTTAAATGAAGAATAAGCTTAATTCCATTATAAACTATATGATATCAAAGAATGATGAAGTACTTTGTATTGGAAGAATGTAAAACTACGTGCCCGAATATTCAATGATTTTTCGTAAGATTATCTATTCAAAGAAATTTTTTGCACCACCGGTTAACACCAAGTTTTGTGTGACCTTCTGACCACTTGTGGACGGAAATTTTATTCCTCACCTCATTGGAGACTGGTGATATAAATTATTTGTTAGTTAGGTAAAAAACAACCTATTATCCACATATATTAGTATTTTGCTTTGGAAATAGTTTCATAATGTTGATTTTATTATCTATGTTACTTTATTTGACTGATAGTAGTTTACGAAGGTAAACGTTTATCTGAATAGGTTGAGACCTGAGATTATTAGGATGATGAGTGATAATTGGTCGTATAGAAATCATTTGAATGAATTGTCAAAGTGGAAAAGTAATAGTTACAATTAGAAATGATAATCGTAACAATACTATGTTAAGTTCGATATATAATGCTCATAAGCAAACTATGATCCTCCACGAGGGGTAACAGGCGTAAGTCAGTACTTTGTTAAGCACAAATGGAATGGGTCATGTAAATGTTTTACGTAGTAGATCTGAAATAAATGAAAATATAGTACGACACCATAGTATGAAATTGAAGGAACCGGTACGATTAGAATTCAATTAGTCATAAATAATGTAGAACCTATCATTTATGAGTCAACGGTTTTTTGGAACAGAAATGTGTAAGGTTATGTAAATGCATGTAAAAAAAGGTTGAGACACCACATTGAAGTATATTATTGCTTTTATAATAAACACAATTCCTTTTAGTCATTCTGTTTAAATTTAGTAGTTCATCTCTAAGCTTTGTGGTCGTCAGTGGTATGTCCATATGCCTTACATAGGCAACTGTAAAACAGAAGTTATTTTAGCAAAGGTTTGCGCTTTCCCGTTATTAATAATCAAGACTGTACTGTGATATATATATATATACATATATATATATATATATATATATATATATATATATATACATATATATATATATATATATATATATATATATATATATATATATATATATATATATATATACCTTCTGATGAGAATAGTATCAAACACTACTCTTTGGCTATAAATTGTTTATACATCGTCGTGATTCTAATCTAGTAGTCACTGGATATCAACTAGGAACGTCTAATAACAAATTTAAATTAACATCACAAAATTAATGCACAGAACTCACGTGGTAACGGATTAGTTATTCCAGGACCTTTAGCTGGGATCTCTCGCAAAATAGACCCATCATCTTCACGAGTACTTAACCAACGATTGCAGTAGAACTCGTATTGCTCGTGAGTCCTAAGATTAGTTAATAGAATCTAAGTGTGAAAAAGAATGACAAATATTAGAATAATTTTGATCGATTTGATGGCAAAACCAATTTGAATATCTTTAATATAAAGTTAGAAATATTACACCTCAATAAATTTTCTAGTGATCACTAACTTGGTGATCTCAAATATACTTGCATGTAAGTGTTATCCATAAGCAAAGTTCCAGTCTATGGTTATCAACAGGTTGTATCACTACACTAGGTTTTTCTGTATTTTGAGCTCCTGGAGTTTCCTTATAAATTTTAGAAGCAACTAGATTTCTCACTTAACTGGGCCTACAGATTTTCTAGATTTACTGGGTAATGGAGGATGGTTATGCATGGGGTCAGCAACCCCGTCCCGTTGTAAACAACCTTGCTAAGAATACACTAACCAGAATAAACAATACGAACCATTTAGCTCTCTACTCCAAGCTGAACGATCTTCATTCAGACGAATTATAACATCTCATGGTGAAGCCGATGTTCTTCGAAAGTCACGAGGCCGATGGCCCTTTTGACAATCAGATTAACAATTACTATAGGTACATGGAATGACCTGACAATGTGGGGGACCGGAGGATTATTCAAATGGCTACGGAAATATGAAGATACAACTTGGAGATACTCAGAATTAGTGTAACCTATTAAACCCAAGCTAGACAGAGAACGATAGATTCAGGGAGGATGCTGCTGTACTCTGGTCACGAAGAAGAAAGTGCTCCACACACTCAGGGAGTTGCTCTTACGCCGTCCAAACAAGCACGTAATGCACTTATAGGATGGGAATTTCATGGACCCAATATCATCAAAGCATCTTTCAAAACAAAGAAATAGGGGTCAGTTCTATGAGAGGCTGCAATCGAACATAGCGAAGTCCCTAGCAAGAAACCTGGCAATTCTGATGGGAGATCTAAACGCCAAAGTCTGAATGGACAACAACAGTTACAAAGATATCATGGAACGACATGGATTGACTGAAAGATACGAAATTAGTGATGGATCTGCAAACCTATGTGCATTCAACTAATTGGTTATAGGCGACTTAATATTCCCACACTAACGCATATACAAAGCTGCATGGATCCCACCGGACCACACCACGGAGAACCAGATAGATCACATTTTCATCAGTAAAAAATAAAGAAGGTCATTGGAAGACATTAGAACCAAGAGAGAAGAAGAAATAGGTTCAGATCAACAACAGTCGAAGAAGAGCTGAGAAAGTCAAGACACATGCGAAATATACAGAAGCAAACAAGAGGGTGAAGAGGAGCATTGGAGTTGATAATCAAAAATGAGTGGAAGACCTAGCAACGGCAGCAGAAAAAGATGTTAGAGGACGAAATACAAGACAACTACATGATACAACCAAGAAACTAGTAGAGAAATTGTGGGGTTTGTATGAACTAACGACTCCTTTTTACTTGATGATTGCTAGATTTCGAATTCCAAATACAATACGTTCATTAGTGCGCATCTAGCACTTATTGTTTAAATTGAGTTATTCCGGGATTCCTAGTTTTTTCTCATTATTATCACAAAAATGCTGTGGAAAATAGAGCAACCAGTCAAATAACAAGGGAAAGCAATCACTGAGATTAAAGAACAGTAGAACAAGTGGTAGAGCACTTTGAAGAACTCTTGAATAGACCAGCCACATTGATCCCACCAGATATCGAAGCAGCACACAGATCGTTCTATGGATGTTACTCCAGCAACAAGAGAAGGAATCAGCAAGATAGTCGGATAAATCAATGATGAGATAGCATCAATACCAAACAACACATCAGCTGAAGCAAGACATCAGGCATACAAGTAACTGCAAAGATGCTCCACATTCTCTTCTGGAAAATTTGAGTGGAAGAACAAGTGTAGACAGACTGGAAAGGAGGAGAACTACTACAACCATCATTGAGAAAGTACAAGTATTTATAAACAATTTTCTACGCAAGATACTCAGTGTTCTTTGACCGGTTATCATCAGAAACATCCTACTGTGACAGCGAACAAACCAGCTTTCATCCGAATTGGAAATTAGAAGAAGACGTTGGGGATGAGTAGGACACATTGTGGAAATCACCAAACTACATCACGAGGTAAGCGCTTACTTGGATTCCTTAAGGGAAAAGGAAAAGTGGAAGACCGAAGACCACATTACGTCTGAAGTCCGAAGCGCACATGAAAAGGATGAACAGCAACTGGAAAGGATTCTCCAGTACATTGTTGGATGGAGAGTGCTGGTGGGCTGCCTATGCTCCTCCACGATAGATAACAGGCGTAAGTAAATAAGTAAGTAGGGCTCTTCATTTCAAACACCACATATAAGAGAATTTAAATATTACTTAACGTAGAATAAGTAGAATAAACTAACATCGGTAAACGAATTTCATTGAGATCTCGTTTCCTATTCTTTAAGTTAGAAAAGTCAATATGAGAAATATTGGTATGTTTCACTAAACAGTTTTTATCTGAATAAAAAAAGAAATACTAGATATTCCGGTTGAAAAACCTTCATGGATTTAATTTGAAATCATTGGCTAATTTTATCTAACCTTCAAAACAAGAGAATCCGACTTGTAAAGAAATCCATTTCAGAACTAGATGAAGCATGCGCTTTCAGGATATTTTGTATATTAACAGTCTGTAATGCCTTACAACTAATTCCTTGGCTTGAAACAGATTCATGTAATACCTAGTCTTTCTTTTCTAAACCTTACCTTTACGCTGACTAAATGATCAAAAAGTTATCCTGTTAGTCTATATTTGAAAATGATTATTATGTGAATGACTTTTAGAAACATATTTTTTTAATAATTATACACGCAAGTGGTGTTGTAGTCAACCGTAGCAAAATAGATGACCTGTTACACTATTTTTTCGATATTTAGTTTATAAACTGATATTATATGAAACATGCTTATATTTTTATCTTATTAGGATTCAAAAAGATCCACTTAATATTTGGACAGCTAAAATATTAACTAACAGATATACCCACAACTATCCAGTATCTATCAGATTAAGACATTACATTTTATTCCATAACACGTAAAGATGATCTGTCACGAGTATATAGAATGAAAAATGGTTAGTTTGGTTAGATTTTCTTAATTTTTTTACTTAGTATAACTTTGTATCTTGTGTCGTAAACACGAATTCTTTATAAGCTTATTTATAATCATTATTTAACAGAGATGTACTATAAATTCCAATGTTTTTTTCACTTGATTGCGGCAGATGGATCATTACACTGCCAGTAAATGTTAATAAGTTTAGATAATCATTTCCTAAAAATTTGAATTATGAATATGAAATAAAAAAGTGACTTGAAGTTTTTGTACAAAAAATAACTGGTTACCTCTTGAAGATGCCAGTTTGGATTTGACCCTTTGTTATCATGTGCAACTCTTAGTTTACAAGGAATACCAATATCTTTGATGTAAATACGAAATTTGGACTCAACATTTGGCTTAAACATCTCTACCATTTCATTCTTTGGTACTTTAGTCCACTCGGAAGATACTTCTAAATTTGAACGATTTAGATGAATTTTCGTAGTTTTATCTTTACTACCAAATATAATAACGCTAACAGCAGCTGTCACATAATTATTTGCTATTGGGCTGGTTTTCACTGAAATTTCCCATGGTATTTCTAGTTGTTGACAGAAAAATACAGATATTTAAGAAGTAAAGCGTAATGTACATGTAGTTTGATAAATGCTGATTATTCTAGTGATCCATTATGTACCAATGAGACCTTAATGACCTCATATCAAGTGTTGTTTATCCTCACCATCTAGTCAGTTCTAGTGAACTCTCTATTCAATGAGGGAAATATGTTTCAAATAGAGTCACACTAACTGTAACTGGAGAATGTGAGGACCGTTCATTATTTCGTGGGGGAGGATAAAGTCAGAAAATTTAAAGTCAGGATCGAAACTATGAGTCTTCAAAAAAAGAAGGGAAGGTGATATGACTGGAAGAAAAGTCAAAATTCGTTTGATTTACTAATTATGAGTTTTGTTCAACATTACTTCTGTTTTGATTCAATGTGATGATTATTCAGTGTCGTATTCGGTTTTGTTTTCTCGCATGATATTTTATTCTGTATAATATACGATATTCTTGTATTTAATTGACATGAACTATGCTCTGTATGTGATTTGTTATAACTCTAAGTATTTTTCATATATGTGATTTCATCCTAATTATTAATCAAAATGGGTGTACGAACCAATATATAAATGAGTGCATTTTCTACTAGTCGTCGTCGTGTTTTGGGGCTAATAAATCTTTACTTATACCAGTCTTTGTGTTCTTACTTTCGCGTCGTGAGGATTGCGGAGGTCGCACGTTCCGAATATAAGTGATAAGCGTTTCCGACACAACAATCAGCGACGACCACATATAACAAGTAGCATTCTACTGATAAGTTATAACAGAACACTTCATGGTAATAACTGTAATCTTTGCAGAATGTTGATGAGTGTTTATTCCATTTTCTCCAAAATAGAATATAGTCTAAAAACTATTACTTAATATTTTTTCCCAAATTTTGTTGGATAAGACATGCTTCATATCTTATCACTTCAAAACATCTTACTTAGTTTATCTCCTAGAAAAGTTTATTCGATCTGACTCATGGTATAACTTTGAAAGTATAGATGAATTAGCTGTTCGGTAAACTTTTTCAGTATATGTTAGTCATCTTAGGTCTCATGCTACCTACTTCATGTATATCATCAAGGTGTATACTAATTGGATATACTTTGTGTAATTATTTCTGATGAGAACTTATATAGATATGTACGGATTCTAAGGATCATAGGTTATCTATTTTTAATGATGAGTGCCAAAGGCAAATGACATCATATCATAGTGAATATAAAACGTGCAGTCACTAAGTTTCGATTCCATCTTAAAAAAATACAGTAACATTGAATCACTTAACTTTAAATATTTAAAATGACTAGAAATACTGAACTATTCTATTTCTGATTGATATTTCTTTTTCCACATTTAGTAAACAGTTGCGTATGTTGTTATTATCTAATCCCTCGCAGTTTAACGTGAAAGAATTCATTGTACTGCTTCTACGCGTTGGTAGATCATTCACCAATTTTAGGAGTTTGAACAATTATTACTTCTACTACTATGGTTACCAATCAAATAAAAAACGAAACTATAAATACCGAAGTAATATAATTGTCAGTACATGCAACTACGTAAATATCATTCAATCAGTGAGGATTATTCCTTTAAAAAAATTCACATTAAACTATTGTGATTGTATACTCAAACACGGATAGTGGCTAGCAGTGAAATCCAGAACTCGCGTTTCGCCCTATCCGGGACTCGCTAGCTGGATGTACCTGCATCTCAGAGTTGGGACTCGAACCCAGTACCGTTCGCTTCAAATGCTATCGCGTTATCCACTTAGCTACTGAGTTCTGATATCCACTTGCTAAGATTCCACTGCTAGCCACTATCCATCTTTGCTTATAATGCTTTTAAATTAGGCAATACGCACAGTATGCACATATGCCAATAAGAGACTCATTAATTGCAGTCCTAAACATCAGTGAGAAGATTCAAGTAAACAATACCAAGTGAATTTATTGTGATTATAGTTTATCAATATTTCTAAACTTACTTTTATCAGTATATTTTCTTAGAGATTTTTCTTCATATAGTATCTGTTCAACTTTCATGCCTGGTTTATTATTTGTTAACCATTTACGATATAAGAAAGTTTGTTCGACACCATTCAGAGGACAATATATTTGAATCTTTACAACCAATCATAGAAAATTATTTTTAAAAAATAATTCAGCCTGTAAAAAAGTTGGAAATTTAGTTCGGATCATGAACCCATCAATCTTAAACCATCGTTGAAAACCTAGAAGCACAGAACAGCCATTTTTCATCATTGTATTGAACTCTTTATTAGTGCTCATCCACCGAAGACGATGAAAGATGGTTGTCCAATATTGTGGACTGGGTGAATTTAGACACTAACTCCATCAGATTCCGACTTAGGGGTTCAGAGGTTAAGCGTTCACGTGCGAAATCTAAGGTCCTGGGTTTGAATCCCGGGTGTGAGGCCGTGGGTGCTCACTGCTGAGGAGTCCCATATTGGGACGAAACAGCCGTCTAGTACTTCCAGGTTTTCAATGGTGGCCTAACATTGATTAGTTCATGGTCCAAATCAAAATTCAACAATCTTCACAACCCTATACTGAATTTGGAACTAAATAAATTTCATTATTTCTTATATGGAGTTCTAGAAAAATGCAAATCCATAGATGTTTGTTATCAACGTTTTCTATTTTGGAAAACTTGGTATGAATTTAATTACTTGGCTCAAATCATAGCGATCCAGTTCGACAGCGAATAACAAAGCTAATCTTGTGAAACCTTATGCCAAATAAACTATTTTTCAGTATAAAGTACAGAAACATTTCTCACTTCTACTCAGAATTATCAAATATTATTGTGTGTACAAGTTATAATGGGATCGGATGGATTTTAAAGCAAACATCCTAAGATTATCTTTTGATATAGTACTCTCACAACAGTATATTATCTTGTGGTTACTGAATCTCTATAGTGACAAGCTGACAGAGTATTATAAATCATATATAAAAATTATTTTTCCGTAGTATTATATCTTTTAGAGCCAAATAAAAAGTTCTTATGATATTTTTTATTGGTATCAACATTGAAATGTCAGTTTCACTGAAGCTGTTAGTAACAGGTAAATGATAAACACTTCACTATAAAAAGGTAAATAGCAAACAATTTGTTTCATTAGCTAATAAATAGCTTATTTATGAGTACAAAGGTTACAATAACATCTAACTGAAGTTTCGAAACCAGTTGGTTTTCAGTATTTTTAGAATATCATCATATAAAACAGTTAGGTGAGTCAACCTCCATTTTTCTTGATGGTTGGCTTCTGAAAATTGTTTATATCCCTTCACTGAAAACTAAACTCTAAATAATAGCTGCCAGTTTATGTCAACGACACCGTTTCATGTGGTAACTCAAAACTGTTTATCTGTTCTGGTTTTAGTATCATTCAATTTAAGTATGTTTGTATCCTGGTTAATAGTTAAATTTCCTACTAATTAACAAGAAACACTTATAGTCATGTTAATCAAAGAGAGATAAGCTTCATGTTAGTCATAGATCGTGATCTGATGATCATCAGCAAAACTATTGTACGTCTGTTCATAAATATGTCTCATTTGAGTCTACTAGTTCGAATACTCTCCATACTGTCAATGAGCTAAATCATACTTCTGGGAGTATTACATTATGCAGTAGCTATTCAAGAAGATGTCTTATAAAGTTACCACAAAAAGTATTGGACTCCAATGAATAAGTGCTTCAACAACAAAAACATCAAGACAACTGTACTAGGAGTTACAGAGTCGCTTCTTCATTTCCTGGTACTATGACATATATTTTAAATATAAAAGCAACAACGGTGAAATTCCTTCACCGAAAACTATATAGTATAAAAGTTATATAAAACAAGCTCGAGTGGTTATCAAGAATTTTAGTTACAACAAAATCTCACTTTGACATATTAAACTACCTTATCAAGGAACCATGATGGGGAATGACCAGTATTGTCATGTCCTATTACCAGCTGGGATAGAGGACTGATAAACTTTGGTACCGGCAAATCAATAGAAAATAATGCAACACCATTTCTCTCATAATTACCATCTTCCAGCCATATGTATGGAGTTGTATATACATCCTCTTTATTTTCAAAAGTGGTTTTCTGATCTATATGGTCTAGTTTCATATCATATCCTTTCTGTACAGTAGTGTTAGCTACCTGGTAATTTGAATAAGGAGGTTTACTATTGGTTATTTGTTCAGGACCACTTAATTGAAGGCAAACTCTAGCGGTCGTTCCTGCATTAGGTACGTCACCGGTGTACAAGCGAATTTCAAATGGTATCTCTGTTATATCAGTAAAAGATCAAACAAGTGAATTGTTTAAAAATAAAAGAAAAATTAAATGAATTACCTATCTTTTCAATGAAACTTTATAAACATAAGATCAAACTGAGAAATATTTGTTATATCCCGGTGAAGATTAAATTACAGGTAACTCCCGAGGACTATTAATGGACTAGTATTCTATAAATATTCTTATTGTAAAACTTTGAGTAATTAGATTATGTATATTTATATTCCTCTTATTATAAGCTTTATTTGGACCCGCGTGTGAGACCGTGGATGTGCACTTCTGAGGAATCCTATAATAGGACGAAACGTCCGTCCAGTGCTTTCAGGTTTACCATAGTGGTCTAGCTTCAATTAACTCATTATCTCAACTATTGAATTTACTATGATATCCACAAAAACCACTTTTGGGCTAAAATTGTTGAAATCTTTCGTTGACGATAAATGTAAGTAAGAATTCAAAAAAGCATCTTTCTTTACGAAAATAAGTTTAACTTAATGAATACTTTTAAAAGGAAATTTTTTCGCACTTCATAAAATTCATTGTTCAATTTCTTATAATTTAAAGTTCACTATTTTTTTTGTTTACGTATGGTAGGTAAGGTAACATTATACACAATCAATAGTTTGATGCTTACACTCATTACTACTAAACAAATACTTTAGACTCAAATTTTCTGTGTCTAGAAATGTTAATGAAAAGACATAGATGTAGTTTTAAACTGTAATCATTTAGAGTTAGGTAAAAATCGAATTTTGTTGAACTGAATTAAATGTACTAATGTAATTCTAAATGGTAATAAAACATCATTCTATTCTGCTGAACAGAGATTCCATTGAATTAGGCCAGACAAACAAAACATTATGTATGAAGATAGTTTAGGCTATCTAATGTTATATATATCCACAAATTATAATGAACTTACTCTGCCAAATAATTTCCTTTTCTTCTTTTTTGATTGATTTTCGACACATAATTATCGCTTCACTTGGTTTAGTAATCCATGCATAACATGGAAACTCAAATACACGATTCATTCTTAAATCATCTACAATCACCTTCAATTATAACAGTCAAAACAAAGTTGGAAGTTTATTGCTTTCGTTAAAATAATGAAAACACAACACTTTAATATAGAAACTCAGTTTATCTTGACTATTATTTCCCTTAAATTAATGAATAAATGAATAAATAAAATAGTGAATGAATGAATGAAGATGTGGAATTAGTGTTTTCTGTTCTTTAAAACTATGCATGTAAAAATTAACTATCAAGGAATTATCTCATTGGTTTTACGTCTGTTTTAACTGGGAATAATTTACAGTGCAATATAGTTTCATTGAATTGTTAAAACGTGAACATTTGAATTCAGCATATCACTAAAAATATCCTGGATGGATAATTCCAGCTTTTGGTGAATTTTTAATCAAAAATCATTCCTTCAAGACACAAGATAAACTAAAATGGACTATGATTATTGAAAATATCGCGTGCACATTATGTAAACTGTACAGTACTATTGAGCTTCTGAGTAGACTACAATTAACAACTGGAATTTCTCCAAATATAACAAATTATTCAAAGAACCTGATATATTTCTCCTTTATACATCAATTTTCTGCTTAGGAACAATAAGATAGATAATTGATCCATATGAAGAACAACATCTCACCTTGTTTAGAAACCATGAAGGAGATGAACCAGCTCCATTGTGTCCAACTTTAAGTTTAGTTATCTCACCTAACTGGGGACATGGTGGTAAATAAACTTCCACGGTTGATCCACGAGTGAAATGATAAGATGTTGATTGTCCTCTGTTTGTCTGCTGGATAGAATTAACCCATATTTCTCTGCTCGAGTCTTTCTCCCCATAAAGTTTTACATATACCTCACCCGTTGTCCCAGCATCCTTTTGGTCGGATGTATAAAATGTTAGTTTATATTCTGTTTCTGAAATAGTTAATAAAATGAAGTTAGAAATCAAGCTTGATTTCAAACGTTGCCATTTTTTTTACTGAAAATGAAATTTGTTTTTTTAATTCAATTTAATTTACCTATGTACTTATTTTGAACACCAATTTCTCAGTAGAAAATCAAATTTAGACATCATCCAGGTTTTTAGGTGTTGACTATGATGGATTAAGTAGATCTCTTACTTCATCAGAAAAGTTTGTAGACCTATCTTTTCGAATGGTGAAAATCCATTTTAATTAGGTGAGTGCTACATAAACATTAAATATAACCTATAGTGTTTGTATGAAAAGTGTGGCATTTACCTGTGAGCGTAAGATTTTATTATTATCATTAGGACAAGAATTAAGTAAAATAAACTAAGCACATACAGACATATTAATAGTAGGACTAATTAAACCGATTCCTAATAAAATAAATCATTTCCATCCACTGCATTTCCAAATATAAACGAGAAAATTTTATCTCCATTACCGAAGACAGTCAGCTGTCTAAAAAACTTGATTGACATTTATTTCTATTGATAGCAATCAGAGTTCTTGAACTAAAGGTTTGCACAGTTAGTAGTGATAATTTCAAACAAGTAAATATAATTTGGTTCTCTAGTCAGCTATCCGATAAAGGACTGAGGTTCTAAAAAAGAGGAGAAATAGATTCTGATCCAGATACTTAAGGCTATACTGCTTCATGTGAAATCCGCAAACCTTGACCTTGAATCTGAATTAGATCTTAAGCATACGCTACTTATGATTCCGAAACCCCGCCAACGTAAACGTGCACCCTGCCTTGTTATCTATAATTATTCAACTTACTTAAGTCTGCGCTAAAATTACTTAGATTCGATGACTAAAGTTTAATAAAACACTGGATGATGAATACTTTTAGACTACAAACTTCTGGATTATCGACACTGAATTCTCAAATCAACAAAACTGGCTAATAATAGGATTTTATTATCACTAGATTATCTTGTAGTGTCAGTCATTATTTTAAGCCCATATACCTTATTCTAGTTTTTGGACAAACCAATCTCTTCATTCTACTTGAGTCATATGTTGACCTTGTCAATTATTCGCTTGTCAGTCTTGATTGTTTTTATATGACGTATATGTGTGTGCACACTTCTTATCCCACGTCTCATCACATGTCTGTAGCTTTATTTTGTCTGACTATAAATATTGAGTAACGCTTGACTAAAATGGAGTTGGCTTCCCAGCCATCCCTCCCTGCGCGTCATTTTGCTCTGTCCTGTTACATCCACTTTACATACAAATATGTATTCAAAGGCCATTCTCGTTAATTGACTTATCTAAATTCCGTTATTGACTAACGTGATTTAAGTCGACGATGATATACGAGAAAAGGCGATAACAATCATTTATACGATCTAAATAGGAGTCAGATCCACGGGCCACTAAAATCACTCCATTCATTATTCTGTAATATATATGATGACTTTTAACTACTTAACACTTTATTACTAGACACTCTGACTCTGTTACCAGGATGTTCGGGCCAATATTCAAATTTATGCTTTTCCAGAACAACACCTCGTGAGTCAAACATGCATGCTGAACGAGTTTAACTGATGATATTTTAGAAGGAATAAGAGCTATCTTGATCAATATGTTTAGTATATGAAAAGAACAAATTTCCATATATAGTGAACAAATTATTTAGTCTTAGAGATGAAACATTGTTTCAGCTTAATACAAATGCAACTTACCAACACCTGTTCCAGTAGGTTCTCTATAGCCTCGGATAAATCTGCATGATTTACCGTCACCATACTTGCTAGAAAGCCAACATGAAAGATGGAAATAATAAGTCCATTGGGGATAAGACATATCAGTAACTACAACACGTTCTAAAAACCAATGTGGTTCGTTTCCCGATTCATCTTGCTTTATACGAATATTTGTAATGGCACCAACATTAGGAGCTTTGACGATAAATTTTGTACTTGTACCACGTCCAAAGGGTGCGCACAAGATATCTTTTCCTGTACTTTTATTTTCTTGGCTTAATTCTATTCTGGGAGTAATTCCAGTCCTTCCATAAATTGTTATATATACCTTGCTATTTGTTCCAGACCCTTCTTGATCTCCGGTCACGGTTACAATGGAGTATTCTGAAAGTTAAGAAAGTGATATATGGCATTGTTTAATTATCTTATTCACAATTTACTTGTTTTTGCACTTCGTATCCCAAATAATTCACGTGCTATAAGGCCATCTTCCTTATATAAGGAAAACCAGTGGTTACACATAAACATGTAACGTTTCTTAGTAAGAGGATGAAAGACTTGTACACTTTCCAGGAGCCAGCTGTCGGTTTTTCTCAAACTGTCATGCTGATGTGTAAAAAAAGAAACCAATAAGTTGTGAGTTACTTCCACCATAATTTCAAGTTAAATCTATAAAAAGGTAGTGGCTTTTCGTTGCTTTACTTTATTTTAAATAAGCGTCATTATTATCAGTTATTAAATTCCTAATTTTGTTCTAACTGCCTATCTCTGTTATTAGGATTAACTAAGAATATAACTCCTTAGTTGCTGAAATATGTGGGAAAGGCATTTATAAAATGAAGCCTATGCACACAGGTAAACGGAAAAAAATTGCGCTCTACAAACCACCTTCTGAGGGAAGAAAGTAAAATTTTCATCTATATATTGATCATGTCAACAGTGAATTAGCAAGGCAAGTGATCTATCACTGGATACTTTTAGTAGTATAGTGGAAACTAGAATTATTCATTACTGCAAAACCTTATGAACGTATACACATACATATTCGTGAAATAGTTTTTACGTAACCTATTTAAATGTCAGATACTTAACTTTAGCGACACTAATTGTATAAAATATTTTTAAGAGCACATGAATTATAATAACTATAATTATTAGGTTCAAGTGCAACAATTGTTCAGCACAAAATAATTCGTTTATCGGGAGATCTCAGTCAAATAATTAGCCTTACTGTCACTGATTTCCTCACGAAATTTTTGAGTAGACTAGAGTACTTGCATATGTCAGATGATTTATTTCTCGTTTATCGATTATTTAGATACATAGTATCCTTTGCTTACAGGTATTGGTCAAAATGCTAGAAGATTTTACATCCTAAAATTCAGTAAATATATAATCATAACTTTCAGTCTGTTGAAAATCATTTTTTCTAGTTCAGCACACACTTTATAACCGATACAAAATGATATGTTGAAGTAATTATAAGCATTTTTAGTTTTCAAACTTTTACAAGTGTACGCCGTAAATTTTTCTTCCTGAAATTTACACGTTCAAATGGACAGCAGACCACATTGCATAAGCCAGTGGCCACATGAATCCAGTAGCTAAGTGAATAAAGAGATTGTATTTTTAGCAAACGGTACTGGATTTCGGTCTCGGAGTGTATATCAACTCAGGAATGAAATAACATCTAACTGGTGAGTCTTAAATGGGACGAAACACTCCTCCTGGATTCCATTGCTAGCCACTTTTAATCTTTGATTGAAAATAATTATAGTCTCATGTTTATGTAATGAAAATCAAGCGAACTTAGCGAGTCATTAGTCTGGATTTCCCCAGTAATTTGTAAACGCTGTGGTTCAATCATAAGTAGTTACATAGAATATGTTTAGCGCTCAAACAAACTCTAACGTCCATACAAATAGTTGTTTAGTTTTCAGTGAACTTATGTTCCACTTTTTCTATTTGAATGATGACTTTAGTTCTGATTATGAAATATTGAACAGATATACAAACAGACCAAAACAAAACACTGCAGCAACTTCAAACTAATTTTTGCACTTACTTAAATCATATTCACGAAATATTTGACATATGGTTTGGTTTCTTAAGTATTTTTAGGCCATTTCTTAAGTGAAACATTACAACATGTCCATCCTTAATCTGATGTTAAGCCATATATTTCTTTTAGTGTTTTGTCCCTTTACATCCAGATGATTTGGCTATATTCTACCTCAAATAAGCATTTTAGGTTGAGCTTACTGAGTAATTATTGAGTCAAAAGTTGCCATCATGATAAACATTTTTGCTGTATACCTGTTTTGTGCCAAAGCGGGTTTGAGAAAAATACCAGTTTACGCTATATTTACTAAAGCATACGAGGACTCACAGCTCCTATCTTAAAGCAGATGAATGAACCAGCAATTTACGTGGGTTAATTCATTTTGCAGCTCATTCTCATTCATGTCAGGCAATAAGTTTAAACTGGAAATTAATCTGTACGTAAAGTACATAACTAGGCACTCTAATCGTAAAAATTGTAGAGATCTTCTTAAAAATTTATCATAGCTTTTTCTTTAGCATACTTTGATTGCAGAATTTCCATCAAAATATTTGTTTTAAAAGGCTACATAAAAATAAACCTATCAGTCAGTCGGTCAGTCAGCTACGACGTAGCACCAGGCACATATATGCATCAGTCCAAGTCACCATACCTCATTAACACCACAAGATAAACACCAAATTTATAGGAGTGGCTACTTCAATGATAGCAATATATAAAACGAAAATTGTGTATAAGGAAATAATACAGAAAGAAAGAATTAGAGAGGTATAAAGTAATTTTAATCGCACAGTTTAACAGAAGACAAAGAGTATATGCATCGACACTATTGTGATTGATTTTGAGCTGTCACCCAGAGTCTCCAAACATTGGTTACGATAGTCACGCGGACCCAAACCAAATAGTCTGCATCTGCCAATATGGCTTAGATTAGAAGTTAGTGACTTCAGTGACTGATGCCAAGCTTCGGTTCGGCCGCCCCTTACTTTCTTTCAGCCGTCTCCCTTAATTGATAGGCGGATGCCTCGCCTTCGCTGTAGGTGACGTAAGTTGTCAACGAGCTATCTGAACCCGTTCAGAAATTTCGTCAGACACCAACCCATCAGGGTTGATCTGACTTCCAAGATAAGTGAAGTTGTCGACGCAGGTCAATCCTGAAGCAACAGTTTACATTTAGAGGAGGGAGGCGCATCCAAAAATTCTGGCATTGTTGCTCATTACAACCAAAAGAATCCGTATTTTATCAGCATCTTTATCAAACAGAACTATGTCATCAGAGTATTCTAAGTAGATAAGTGAACCTCCCGGTAGGAGATCAATGAATGAGACATGAGTTTCAATAAGTTAATCGAAATGTTCCGGAAGTTAGAAATACTGAGTTTCAATATAAGTCAAAAGCGCCTGTGTAAGTTATGATAGAATAAGTGTTTGCACAACTAAATTCCACATACTACCAGTAAACTGAAATTCCCTATCTATGTCATATCTCATATCTAATAGTGATCACACGGTTTACTTCCTCTAAGGCTGCATGCGTTCGCATAGCATGAGTTTTTTAAGAGGAAGTGATTATTTTGTCAACGAACGCAATCACAATTATAGATTATTTAGCAGTAAATTTACTATGTAAGTATATGTATATGTTTAATAAGACTATTCATATAACTAAATACTCAAAAGATAAATATCTTATCTGAAATTAAAACTTTCGTACAACATTTCTATACTAGTTCAATCTCATTAAGAGGTAAATCACAAACGCGTAAACAATTATGACAGAAATGTCGATTATATTACCTCAACAAAAACAGAATGTAAACCTCCTAAGTCTGGAGAAACCACTGAAAATGTGTTTGCTGAGCCAGGATGTAAGTAAAAACGTGAGTTTTGTTTGAAACCCTTTCCTTCTTGAGCCTCTGACGAGTGGAAGACCCCCATTCACCTTTAAGTGTTATGTAGATCTTCGAAAATTAAAATATATAAGTTCAATACCTGAGCCGATGTACCAGCACCAGGAACGTCAGCCGTTGTCAAAACTATTTTGTACAATGTATATGGTCTAGCTGTGAACGGTTTTACGCTGCTAATGAGATTGTAGCGGTCTAAATGACATGTATTGTGACCGCAGCATATTGTTCCTTTATGTTTTTTGTCTTCAGTTCTATGAAATGAATATCGTGATTTCGAATTTTCTAAATAATCATCATCCATAGAATCTTCTGGGTTCATCTCTTGCACTTAAACTACTTGGTGTTTTATAACATATTGCGCACCATTTGTAAAAGAACGAGTATTTTGTCATGATTACATGCACCATTGAACCATTAAAAAAATTTTAAATATCCAATAACTGTTATATTTTTTACGATTTTATATAAGTCGATTAATCTATTTGAGCTTGTTTCTTGTTGTTTCAGTACGGTTACAGGTAGCCGATTTCGTCTAATGAATTGTGGTCGAGCTACCTGACTATATTAATTCGTCAGCTTGGTGGTTCTTTATTGTCTTAAAGAGAGCGAGATTGGTGCAGCAATCTTCGTTCTTGCTCTCATTAAAATAATAATGGGAGCTATGTTTATGAAATTTCTCAAAACGCGTCTCCCTGCACAGTCATTCAAGTCAGTGAATAGCCTGGTGACAATATGCTGCAGAACTACACCAATCTTTGCTGTCTTAAAGATAGTAAAGGGGACCACGTGTATCAAGTTATTTATTGTTTTGTATATTTTTTAATTCAAAAAATGCGTTTGACCCAAAGCACCTATCTTATTGCTAGACAGAAACTTGATTACATGTAATGTGAAAGTAATAAAGCGATAATCTGATTTTCAAGAGACGGTAATTGTCTCAGAATAATAATTTGATTATTTGGTGATCCAGTCAGAGTGAAGGAACCTAATTTTGGGAATAGAAAGGCGAACAGAGGTTAAAACGAGGGACAGGAAGTAACCACTGATATGAAGTAATGGTAATAGTAGGTGTAGTATGAGACATGCAGCAGGTACAACTGCTCTAAGCAGGAGTGCACTGGTTTTCAAGTCTCTTCTTGAAGCAGGTTACTGTGAGGGCTAACGTCACTCCGGCTGTGAGAGTATTCTTATAGGAGCTAACGGTTTATGAGAAAAAGTGGGAGCGTGCAATTTTCCGCGGTTCCTTCAAAGAGCGTAATGATTCCCTAGGGTTAACGCCGATCCCAAGCATGGGTCATTAGCCTCATATCGTAGAAAACAACCATACTATAAAGACGTTGACGAAAATAAACGACTTTAAGAGAGGAGCTTCAACAAAATTGTAGACTTAGAAGTAAGGCCTTGCGTATGTTTAAACTGTAGTTAAGAACAACTTTTGAGCAATTGTGTCATGTTGTCTTCGGATAAAATGAAGAGTTGAACTTAGATTGTTTGTATCCCCTACGTATTTTCAATCGTTTTTTAAGTTCACTGTGCTTACTAGACTGAGATCATGCTCCGAGCAGGCAGTCAGAAGCGGATCTTCTTAAAGGACCTAGATTTTTTGTATCAGATGGGTCAGAATGTCCATGACATTATATTTTGACAAGAAAATTTTTAACTCAGTGCCTACTGCCCATCCCTCTATTGTTGTTAGATACGTTTTAAGTTCAAGTGTACTCTTTCCGCTATCTACGAGAATCCATCTCCGTGTGCTGTTTGCATAAATCGGTGTCAACGTGTTATTTTTATTTCACAGCTTATTAATAAAGATCAAGAACAGTAGTGAAAACAAAATTTTATTCCTTAAAACTTGTGATAATTTCAGGAGCTATCCTTGGCCATTTACCTTCCTAATGCTCGCCTACTGCTCATTGCTGTTAACAAATATTAAGGTACTGGCGAAATTCCGAATGTCATTTATGTATGAGCTCAGTTTGTTGTTCTCATAGTCTTGTACTTTTAACGGTCTACATGGTATTAGTACACCTAAGTCTGCTACTGTAATAATAGACCTAATCCCAAGATTGTAGATATGTCATGTTGTGACAACCCATTCATAAGATCTTACGTGAGGTAACATTACTGTCTACACTGACGCGTACTCTCATGGTGATCAGCAATATGATGTCTAGCGCTTCTGAATAACATATTTGGACTGGAAAGGGAGTAGTATATTCAATACAAAATGGAATATGTTATGTGGAGTGATCGCGCTTGCATTGCCGAGACATATCATCTCCACTGATTCTTGCTACGTCCACCATTGCTTATCTTCTCTTAAATTTATATGACAAGTTTAAATCTTCTCAGTAATTATCCACTAAGATTCAAAAGTCGCGTGGTTAGAAACCAATATCACTAGAGTCTCGTGTTTGGTTTATACAGTGATTGAAGATCTCAATGTACTGGTGTGGAATTATTCAGTCGTTTACAATGAGATCTTAAACTTTCTTTTAGTTATTTTTTGGGCTGTGTTTTTCTATATCGTCGGCTAACGTACCGGAACTACGGATAATTATAGCTAATGTTAAACCGATAGCACTGTTTGTATGGCATAGGGACTGAGCGGCTGTGAACTAAGGCACTAAATATATTACATTCAAATGCTATCACTGATTATGTTGCGAGAGGATCGTCCACTGCCGTTATCTTCTTTGTTTCTCCCAGTAGTCATCAAAACTGGGATCTTAAGTCGCTTTTCTCACCTATTTCTCTACTGCCTACCATCCTAAGAAGTATTAGGGATCTGAATAGGAATGTGGTGTTCATTATTTATTTGGAGATTCACTTTTAATATTTGAGTTGGGTGACGAATTTAGTACACATCACCTTAAAGCTCATTAACTAGTAACAACTTGTGCTTTCTTATAACCCTGTTGCTAGAAACGGGGATTTTACATTTATTATTAACTGATACATTAGGATCTCTACTTCTACGAGTCGTCTTTGAAGTGATGGTGTAGGTATTTGAATTAACGTTCTGGGTGTATGTTAGCAGTAACAAACTGCTTGTTTATACCACTATTCTAAAATAAATAATGCTGCCAATATGATACACACAACATGCTGCATGTAGGACATCTCATAGATCATTTAGATAGCTTGACTAGAGGTCTATCTTAGAAATATCTTTGGGGACGAGAAAGTATTTTATTCGTCTACATTGTTTTAAAAATGCTCCCAATAAGACAGAATTAGTCACCACCGGCTTCCAGACAATCATAAATTATACAAAAACAATAAAAAGAGAGAAATTTATGAGTGTTTGAAGGAGTGGTATATTTGAGCATCGGCAGTGATGGTAAAACGTGAATCTTCTGGGCTAGTTAATGAAACAAGCATGAAATTTTAAAGAGTTCACGTCACACACCTATACATTCTTTTTCTTTATGTATAAATCTGGCTATTAAGCATTTATTTGCTATTCATTTCAGTCATATTGTGCTCATTTTCACGGGTGAAATTATTCACCTTTTCAGGTTCATTTACGCGTGTCATTATGTATGTATCTACATGTCATGGCTATGGTTTATTGGCTTGTAGATTACTAAAGTAGGTTTCAGACAAGGTTGGAACCATTCGTTGTGTATAATTCTTCCGTATATTGACTGGATTGTAAAACCTCGATATCTCTAAAGAAACTCAGAGTATAATCGACTTCTTGAATGAAGATGAACGATTTGGACTTTGGACTAGATATTTTAGCCCATTCACTCCAGCAAATGTAGGTGAAGAAAGCCAGTATGCAATAGCCTCTGTAGCAGTAAGCTTCAAATACACAAGGAAAAAAGCAAGGTCTTCAAATACAACATGGATAACACCAAACCGATTACACTTGATGACGAAACTCTGTAAGATATGAAATCCTGAAGGCCCCTGGGAAGAATCATCGATGAGCACGGAAGATCCAATGCAGATGTGAAGGCGATGACTGGCAAAACAAGGACAGTATTTCTAGAGTTAAAGAACATATGGAACTCAAAACAACTGTCAACCAATATCAAAGGGAGAATCTTCAATACGAACTTCAAGGCGGTCACTTACGATGTACAGGGCTGAAACTTGGAGAACTACCGCGACCATCATCAGAAAGGTATTTATTAACAGTTGTCTACGTACGACACTCAGTGTCCGTCGACCAGATGCTTTCAGCAATATCCTACTGTGAGAGAAAAAACCACCTGAATAAGAAATTAGAAAAAGACGTTGGAAGTGGGTAGGACACACATTGAGGATATCGTCAAACTGCATCACCAGGCAAGCTCTAACTTTGAATCCTGAAGGAAAGCAAAAAACGGATGTCGAAAGTCACAATGCATTTGGAATTGGAACCCAACATCAAAGGGCTGAATAACAATCCGAAGGCACTGCTCAGGACAGAGTTGGATGGAGAGTGCTGGTGAGCGGCTTATGCTCCTCTAACAGTGGTAACAAGCATAAATGAATAAGTAAGTACATATGTCTACAAATGGCAAAAATAAAAGGCTAAGATGCTCAAAGTCGGGTTAATTTCTTCAAATCCCTTGAAAAAGCTTCCAGATTCTATGAAAGCTTGAAGTCACTTTGTTTAGTCAGAACGTAATGGTTGCTCCACTTCTTACTCCTCACCCTACCTCTACCATTCAATGCTCTAACGTAAGCTTTGCAGGGGAACTAGAGGGAATTTAGGTGGTTATTATTAAGTGCATAATTACCATACAGTTCACTTGAAACAGAATTGTAGCGTGGCATCGTGTCGAGATTAACTGTGAACACAGCTACCAAGAAACATGTGCGAAGGTTGAACGTAACCAGATTTATTTCGTTGGCGATCTTGTGGTATTGAACGAATACCAAGATCGTGCCAAGGAATGGTACAAATGGAACAGGAGAAAGGAGTGCGTGCGAACAGTACCAAAAACCGCGGAACAATGATGGAAGGTAATGGAAGCACAAAATGGCTATAATTAGCACAGTTAAGCAAAAGCACATTAAAACAAGCACTGG